AAGTATACTCAGAATAGATTAAGATTATTTTACATGAAAATAGATAAGTTTAAACTTCAGAATTTAGTTAACCTGCTCCTTCATTGATCAAGTATATAAGCTACATACTGGGTCGACTGGGTATTGTGGGAAGGGAAGAGAAGTATTTGTTTAAAGATTTGTTTCCTGTAATAGTTAAACCACAGGTTGACATAGAGAGGTTTCTGTATTATCTCTTTAAGGGTATTTTGTTTGATTTTAGTGGAAAGTTTATAAAGTGTAGATTGTTTAGTTGAACATTTATGCTAACTGAATGCCTGGATTGTAATGATTTATTAACATAATTATACTGGAATAAAATTGTAATCATGAAGACATTGAAAGATTTGTGAAATATGTTTGAGTTACAACTGTATTAGCTGTTTGGGAAAAATAAAGTTGTGTTTAAGGTAAGAGTTTCATTTGGATTTAATGTTTGCCAGAAAAATTAATAAGTAGGTTTTTTAAAATAAATTTATGAAATAAATTTTGAAAAAAAAAAACAAACAAAAAAACAGGTTACGTCACTTGCGATCAATGTTCAATATAGATTTATTGATCAATATAGATTGATACGTAACAGAAACCTTGCACACAAAAATTTGTATAGATTAACTTCCTTGTATTACATGGTACCTAATTTTAACACATAAAGAAATATGGGGGGAAAATTTGGCAGAATAGACTTTTTAAGATATAGATTTTACAATTTGATTACATTTGGTCAAGTGGTTTCAGATAAGAGGCCACTTGATACAATAGCCATGATTGATAGTCATTGACCATGTACTTTAATTATAATACTGATTGTGCTTGGATGTTTGACATTGTTGGTTCCAGGATGACCCTGTCTGTTATTTAAAGATCATTATTATCATTTATGCTAGAAGATTGGTCTGTCATGATTTTGCTTCTGTTTAGAAAGTTGATTTGGTACATTATCTTCAGAATGTCATAAGAATCTGAGATACATTCTGGTTGATGATCTTCACACAGGGGAACGACCTTATTTTATTTAAATGTCTCTGGTACTAATAATGTTTAAAGGTCATGAAATAAGATTGTGACATTTATGATTTACTTTTGAAAAAATGATTGTGTTTGGTAATTTCTGGACTACAGAGTGAAGTACATGTGCCTGTTATTCAACATGTATTTTATTAGTAAGTTGACTCCCGAGGTTTCAGTTAGTTGTACTAATATCACTGACTTATGGATCATGTTGCTAGATAACTTGTGTAAGGAGTTGGATTCCTGGAATGGACAAGTTGTTTCATAACAAGCTGTTTCATGTAAAGATCACATTTATACTTACCAAGCTATGTTACAAAAAGTTCACTAATGTTACAGCTTAATGGGACAGAAATAATGGACAGAATGGGTCCACATTGACAGATATATTGACAGTAAAGCAGCATTCAGTGACATATCATACAGATATTTCATTATTATTTAAAAAATGCTCAAACAGCAATTTAATGTCTTTGGCAATTGTACCAGTTAACGGTCAGCAGAACTGGACGTCCATGCATTTTGAGTAGATTCCATTATTTTATTTGCTTGCTTGAAGTGATTTGATAATGAAAACTCTTAAAATAGGAATAAACTATTCCAAATTCAAAGCAGGCCAAATCAAATGCCTAAATTCAGTAAGGAACCAAGTGTTACCGCCTATGATATCCATAAGAAATGATATTGGACAGAAAAAAGAATTGGAAGCTGCATTGCCATGACCATTGCAGTATTGGTTATAGGGTTAAAGAAAGAGAAATTCCTGTAAGATATTTCCCATCATGCTTCAATTATATTGCAAGTTTCTTAAATTAATTATTGCAATAAATTTCTTGCATCTAAAGGTAAATCATTGTTTTGTAAGTAGTTTCTGGCAAATAATTGATTAGTTTGTAGTCAGCTATGATTGGCCAACTCCGAATAATGGTTCTAATGTAAGATAAAGCACTGGGCGTGTGCATGCTTTCTATTTATAGCATGACTGTATCTATATTTAATGTAATGTCTTGTAATGATGGGGTATTAATTACATTGGTGAACCAGTCAGCAATAAATGCTATTATAATGCAGGCATTGTCTTAAACTACAGTACCGAAATAGCATAAATGACATATACCAATGGAGATAGAGGGCATTTTTTTCTGGCATTATGAGTTTATACAGATAGCTTTGAAATGGACAAGCTGTGTTGAAATGGAAAGAAAATTGAGTCCTCTATCCATCAAAATATATTGTGCATTTAAGGTTATTCGGTAATTTGATTATTGATCTTTACTAAGTTTGTTTTGATATTATAGAATTATAAGTTTTGTAGTAGAGGGTGGTAGTCTAAGACAGTCATATCTATATCCAAAATAATCATTGTTGGCGTAACTAAAAGAAAGAAAAAAAACATTGTATATAAAAGGAACTCAATTGAGGTTTAAAAGCCTAAAAAATCATAAAATGTGAATTTTTTACATAGATCAGCTGAAGCGCTTGCAGAATCATATACAAAAAAGAAGAAAAGAAATACACTCAGAAATAAATTGATAATACTATTTTTGCACTATTTTTTAGGCGTTACAAGGCTTTATTTACAGTTTTCGGTCATTTTCACAATTAGAATGATTATATAGGAAAAACAGAGTGGATAAATGATCTGAAATTTTGCACACAAGTTATTGTTCTAGACCTACATCAAATGCAGGTATATTAATTTCGAAAAAGATATTTCTTTTCCTGTCATGTTAGAAAACCACTGTCGAGTCCCTTTAATGTTGGAACTTTTAGTTATTTGTTAATATGGTAGATTTATACTTGATTGCAGTACCAGTGTTGATGTTTACTCTGTAATGGAAGATGAAAATGTATTTGCAGTAATTGGTAAAGATTTCTTCTTCTCAAAGGAATTTTATCATGGTTACAGTTTTTTTTCTTCACGAAATGTTGGCTAAATTATTATATAAGAGTATATTCTTTCCCAATTATTACAGTTCTTGTTGATATATGACACTTTGTAAGCCAGCAATTAACCAGGTTTTACTGATGCCAATTAACTTAAACATCCAAGTTTCCCCCAGAATGATTTTCCAAGGTAAGAATGAAGGTTCAGTCAGAAACTGGGTTAGTTTCAAGTGTGCTAGAACCTTGAAATTTCTAAATTGTTTGAGAAAATGATTTTTCTCATCTCTAAAAGATAAGCAGATGTGGTTGAAGACATATTTTAGACACTTTAAAGTGGACATTATAGGAAGAAAATAGTCTGTTTTATGCCACATTTACTGTTTAATTGCTTGACTTATTACTTGAGAAATTATCGGATAACTGGTCCAAGTTCATGGTTGTCAAAGAATTATTTTAAGATCAGGTACTCAGTGATCTCAAACTCTCAGGTAACCTCTTTGCACTTGTCACATTCTTAAATATGTTACCTGATTAATTCAAAGTTTAAATTATTTCATACAACAATTTGAAATGCTTTTGATATAATTAAAGAAAGGATTTTTGCTGTGACCTTGAAAACTTGTCAGTTTAAGTAGAAGAAAGAAGAAGTTATGTATAATTATAGGAAAAGTGGCATTCAGGAAAGAAAAGACTTCTGGGAAGTTGAGTCCATTTTAGCATACCAAGGCCAATGGATTTGACATTTTGTATTGATATTGTTGTTTATTTTGAATATGAATGGGAAATAAAAATGGATTTTGACCAACATTAAAATTACATAAAACTTACCTTGTTGATTTGTGGCACTGGTTGATGACCAGGCAGGTGAGGTTTCAGGTATAGACTAATTAAATACTTCTTGTAACCAAACTAATAGATCTAAAAATTTTGATATGACTAAAAATTTGTTACATTATAAACTTGTACTTTTTATCTAACAAAACAAATAAAATTTTAATGCCTAGACTAAATGCTTACATGTAACGGGAAGTTAAAGTGTTTTTTACAAGAACATTCCATGTACAAGATGGATATTATGAGGGAATGAAAAGCCTGAAGGAAAATTTGATAGTTGTAGATTTCCAGACTTTGTTGATGGTAGCCTGTTCTTGTCTGATTGGTTTGATAAGCCATGGAGCACCTGTTTCACATACTTGCTTTTTCTCTGATGATATAGGTACTCTCTTTAATGTTTCATCCATTCAATTATGTGGTTGTAGCAATGCTATCTCATGTACAATGTCAATTTAGAGGCCAGGCTTAATTGTAGACATTTGATTGGCTATCGGTGACATTTTATGAGATTTTGACCAATGGGAAGAGTGCATTTATTGTCTGGTTCCCGGTATGAATTGGTTTATATTTGTTTAGTACATATGTATCTTGATATATAGGTTATCAGAGCTGTGTTAGAATGTGCCAAACCTTATCAATGGTGTTATATTTTTTGTTGAAATGATAGGTTATAGTGTTTTGAAATTTGTTCTAATGTGCTTGCAGGCGCGAGTCTAGAGCCAATTGCATTTTAAAGTGTTTATCTTAAAGAAACATACTAAAATTGACAACAGCTCGCAAGATTTCAAAGTGGATGTTATGTAATATCTGAAGAGACACTTTCTGTCAGTAAAAGTTTTGGCAATGGTAGACATATAAAAAATATAATGTTGTTAATTGTATTATATACAAGGATAGCTGTTTACAAGATACAAAATATCACGTATGATGTGTCACTGGCAAAGGTCAATAATTCTAACATGGATTTTTACAGAATTATAGCCCTTGTTTGAACTTTGAAAATTCTACATTATCCCAGCTCTTGTTTTACTATCAAGCAGTAGTCATGCATGCTGTCCTTCTGACAGCTCTTGTTTTGTAAGGGCCTGTTGCATTGTAAAATGTTGTTTGGTCTATATTTTTAAATAAAATTTATTGTAACTCATTCATTGAGAATATTTCATTGACTTTATAAATACATACATTGACATATATATGTTACTATAACGCAAGAGTATATTTAACATTTTGTTCTTCCTTTTATTTTTCAGCTGGATCCTATGTGGCGTTGACGCTGCTTGGCAAGCCATCTAACACCCATTTATCCAACAGAGATTCTATATATGAGCGCGAGCCCAGTTCAAACCGAGAATCATCAGGATCATTTAGAGACTCAATAGTTGATAAAATAACTGGACCACAACCAGTTGATGTAAGTATATGTCTCCATGGTAACACAGTGTGTCATTTCCATGGTTACCATTAAATTGAAGCTGACAAAACAGATTGGTGCCAGTATTAGGCTGCTTTATTTCAAGTCAGAGGTTGAAGAAAATAGGGAAAAAGCCATGATCCACATTTGTTTGTCTGTCTGGTACAGTACTTTTAGAAGATCTTTTTATTTAATATTTTTAGAAAATATAATTATGATCCCTTGAATACCCTGAATTATTTATAGAATCTAGTTTCAAGCTTCAAATGTTGAAATTGTTTCAAAGAGGTTTAACATAGACTATCATGAAAAATTGCAACCCATCACTAATGTAGCTTTTCTTGAACTGCTGTAATCAGTTTAAAGATATCAGTGAAGGTGTTTATTTGTATATACTAAATTGATTGACAACACTTCATGTAATATGACAAATATCACATACAATACAATTAGGATACAAATAAGCAATATGTATTAAAAAACAGATTTGGTTTTTACCATGTTGTGATATGAGGAGGGTTTTTAGGTTGTTGGGTTAATGTATGTATTGATAGATCATGCTCTAATATTATTGTGTCTGGCACACCTCCAGTTCTTGTACTGATCATACAGGATAACCTGGCAGCTAGAACAGATCAACTCGTGTATTTTGAATTGGTTAACCTTAAGGGAACAGGCAAGGAACTCCTATATAAGCCAACATCAAATTAATTGTCCCTCATAGTTGTGGGTTCAGTGTCTGTCCAGGAACTTTGATTTTTATTAAGTAAGAAAGGTTCCAAAATAATTTTTCCAATGGTTCTTTTCTTAGTGACATCAATGCTGTTTATGCCAAACAAAACAACTGCTCTAGATTTTAATTGGCTTAATTTGGGTAATTGCTTTGCCTTGTATGATTTTGGAACAGTCCAATCGGAGATGAAGGGATTTCATTATAGAACTACAAGAATTGGTCAATTATCAGTGTAGAGCATCGTCATGCTGCAAGGAGGAGCATGCTGGCCTGGCTCTATACTGGTGGCAAAGGATTATCATTTTAGGTTCCAGCCGGTTAAGAGCTAGGGTGGCATTAGAGTGTTGTTTTTTGTCTACCAGTTATTGTTGAAAATTGTTATATGACCTTGACAATGTTCATGTGACCTGGAACTTGAGAAAAAATGATAAGATATGGATTCTATATAGTTATGCATGTTCGAATGGAAATATAAATTAGATTGAAGCGCGTAAATGTTTTATACTACACAATTTGTCTTACAGATGCTTTCATATCAGGACATCTGGTACTCCCAACTGTGCAATTTTATGTGATAATGCACTTAAAGTTAATATCAATTTTTGAACAGGTTATTGTGAATGATCAGTAGATTTGCGCATAGTGAATGCAACACTGATCATGGTTATATCAATGCTGTAACATCCATAGGTGTTGTGATATATATTATGTTGTAGAAAACTATAAAGATCCCACAAACTATCTTTGTTCAGAATCACTCTTTCTTTGAACTCATTTAATGTATATATGCCAAGGTCTACTTGAAAAGTTTTATACAAATACATTAAGAACAGCCATACCTATTGATTTCAATTGGATTTATTTTGTGAATGAATCTATTCAGTTCATTTGAAAAAGCTCTACCTTTGAAATTTTAAACTCATCAAGGCCATGGTCATATTTTCTTGCCTGTCTTATTTTTAATTGAAAATGAAAATGTGAAGCAATGGTAAGCTAGGAAGTTAAACTCAGTATGTTGAAGTGCCTAATTGTAAGAATTGAAGTTTCAGATAAAAAAAATTATTTTTGATACTTTAGATTATTATAAAAAACAAGGTCTAGTTAATATAAAGCTATTTTTAATAACACTGGCAAGTTGAGGAAGTATCCTCTTATCTGATGCAGATAATGTTATGTTACAGGGTGGCAAAATTAACTGAAGTTTTAATCATGGTTTTGAATAATACACATATGTAAAATACACCAGTATGATATAACACTTCATATATGGTAATTTATATACATTTGTAATTTATATTTAGGAAAGTTCTTTTTTTGTCATATAAAAGTGAAGAGAAAAAAGCAAAACACTTTCATTACATTGCCTTTATCATGTAAACCATTCCTTGAATAGATAATATTATGAGGTTTGTGGTTAAATGTTTGTGTACAAGTGTTGGAGAAAAATGTGGATTTTCTGGGGATGTTTTATAAAACACCTACACATTATGTTAAAAAGAAAGTGGTTCAAAGCTATCTTAATCAGAATGTCATATATGTTTCACCAATCAGTGGATTTTTCCACCAAACTTATAATCGCAACTAGTTATAGCCCCATTGTGTTAAGATGTTGGTAATATTTGTGACTTTCGGCTTCTCTCTGTGACTCATTGTTTAAGAACCTTTGAACAATGTAATGAATGGTAAATATTACTTACGTTTACTTTACACACAAAAGAAAATGAATTGTTTTAGGCGAGCAATTTGTTCTCCATATTCCCTCTTGTTTATAATGTACATGCATAGTAATAACCATTAAAGATAGAGAAATTTAGGATATAAAATGATTTTGCTCAAGTGTAATTTGTGGCAATGATAAGTACTTAGCTGATAAAGACCTTCATCTTATCTAGAAATGTTCAAGTTCAACTCATACAATTTTCTTTATCATTTCTTGCCTGGGCCTCATTGGCTATTTAATCCTCACAGTTTGAAATGTGTGGATAGATCATATGAGTGGGTATTTTTGTTCATCAAAGTTTTGTACAACTTGGTCAGTTTTACGGGAAAAGAAAATTTTTAATAATTTTTTAGTTTCCGTAGTTTTTCTGAAATTTTATATTATTTTGCTATGGTGTCAATTAAATTTTAGTTGTTATACCCTTCTTACAATCAGTTTTCAATATTGTTGTTGTGTTGAACCAGTGATAGTGACGGCCCTGGGAAGTTTGTTATGGCAGTCTGTAGTTTAAACATTTTACTATTACACTAGCTTTCATGGTGCTGACTTGTAGATCCTTGGTTTTACCCTGTTAAAGACATATGGTGTTTTTAGCTACCATCAGAGTAAAAAACAAGCATTCCGTTTACAGATGCATGACTTTATATTTTTATTTCTTATTTAGAACTACATGAAACATGTTTGGTTTTCTCATAACAAGTATATATATAACTATTATTTCAGCAATACCTAGTAAGTAATCCCGTATGCTTTTAAAGTACATGCGTGTTTTTCTACATGTCTTTTACAGTTCCTTGTTATACATGTCTTTGATAATACAGTATCTTGTAAGATTCTGTGATATATATATTAACATTTCATGTATTAAAATATCCTTGAAACTCTCTCTCACCGGAATGGTAGTGGTTGGGGGAAATACTTCTTCTTGAATACCGCCTCTTTTTATAGAATGATTATAAATGCCCTTTTCAATTAATGAAGCCTCTGAATCCATTTAGTTATAGAATGATTGACTTCTGCAATTATTTAGTTATTCATATTTAAATTTCATATTGTGTTATGAAATGAGGAAAGGTGCTGTGTTACCAACTCCCTGTATTAAATATTTTTCTTAAAATAGGAAATTTGAAAATGTGAGAATTCCTTTCATTATTATTGTGGTGCATTATTTTGTAGATGTCCATAGATTTATTATAAGTTTTGAATGCTACAATCAAATATAAATGTATAATATTATATAATCTAAGATCAAAGTTATGGGTGGGAGGGGGTTCAGATTTGACAGAATGGTTCATGTTAGTGACTGTGAACCTATAACTAGAACAAAGTTTGATGTATCTTTGGCCTCTCTGATTATCCCCCTCTATCTGTGCAAAAAGTTGCATGCAACTCAAAACAATTTCATTGTTGTTTCTGTTCAGATTGTTTATAAAATTCTAACTAAATTCTATGTCAGTTATTTAAGTGTATAATAGTCTATGAAACCAAATTGTTTGTTGCCAATAACAATCTTTATATTTTTCTGTATGTTACTTTTCTCATTATTCTTTTTGCATTTTTGTAATGCTCTGTATTATTTATTATTTCTTTGCAGTGAAGTGGAAAGTTTAAATTGTTGTAAAGTTGTTTCTAGAAAGGGCCTCATTTAATACTTGCTATCTTGTAGGGCCTCATTTATCACTTGCCATTTTGTAGGATCTCCTGTATTAAAAGGGATTATTTATTTTTTCGATGCCTTTCTCAGCTTTACTCTTAAACCGCCTCCGCAGTGGAGGGGTTAGAGTCGATGACTTCTAATCCAGTTACCTCTCTGGCGTGGGTTTGATCCCCAGGAGATGCTTTGGTAGTTTAGCACAGAGGAAGGTAGTCTAGTTCTGGTGTAACTCTCCAGGAACGATGGTTAGGAAACTACCAGCCTATATGACTGAAATACTGTTGGGAAAAGGCGTAAAATGAAACAAACAAACAAACTTAAAATTTGCTTGGGATATTCAGACTTTATAATCACACGTACCAAAGGGTTACTATTTAGGATCTTGTTGCACGAATGGATTGTGCTAGGTCAGGATCACAGGAGTCGAAGGTGCTGCATGTGATCCTTTAGTATAATAAATAAGAGCCATATTTGTAAAATTATTTTGCATAACTATTAGCGATAATTACTCAGCAAATAATTATGATTATGTAACATGCATTGTAAAACAATTTTATTTTTTTTGACAGATTTGTTTATTAAGTTGATTATTTATTTCAGGCTGAGAAAGAGAAAGAAGTAAGGCAACAAAAAGTGAACACTATACGTGTTATGTACGAGACTGTACATGAGGAATATGATGTAAGTTGTTACATGCCAGGTGACCACCAGTATAGAGCCAGGCCAGCGTGCATGCCATTGCCATCTAACAAGGCTTTGTACTGTTGCTTGCTTGGTTTTAGAATTTTGATTGAAATCTCATGGGTTTGAAATTGACTATTCCAACCATGACAGCAATTTTGTTTTGCAATTGTGGAATTAAGTGTAAAGGTGGAACTATAATGATCTTATTTGTTCTGATTATTTCATTGTTATAAAACATGATTATGAAAGCCAGTTGTAGAAATTTAGCACTATTTGCTGTTATAAAGTTGTTTTCTCTGACTAGAATATAGAACTAGTCCTGATGCACTTTATGAGAATTCTTGTCTCAAAATACATACTTGGGTTCCACTATGACTCAGTGACTAAGGTATCTGAGTTCAAATCACTTGCCCTTAAATGCTGGGTTTGAACCTTACTAAGGACTTTAGATAAATTCTTTAGAGGAAGCTATCTAACTAGCTTACCATAGGTTAGTGGTTCTACTTAGATGCTAGCACTTAAGTAATGTGAAAAGTTGCCTTATGACCGTAACATTATTATGCGATTATAAAACTCAGCAATAAAACAAACCAGCAAAATATTACTAGTAGAAGAACAGTATATTGGAAGGATGTTTTTAAATTCTTTGCTCAAGGTAATGTTGTTTATCGCCTGTCCAAGGTAAGTAATGGAATATCTGTGCAATTACTTATTTTAAGAATGAAGTTTGTTGGCAAATATTCGGAAAAATGTTCGTTGCTATTAAGTCAGTAACGTACATGATGTATGTTGAAAAACACTGTTCTTAAGCTTCAAAACATAGGTTGGCTCAACATGAAATATTTGCTGCGATTTATCTTTAAACGGAAACAAATAGACAGTTTTTGCATTGAGCTCTGTAGGAATGTACAATCGAACAATTTTAAACATATGGAATTTTGCATGAAAAAAAAATAGAATTGCCTCGACTAGGATTTGAACCATAGGCCTCTCACACCCTCAATGAGACCGCTTACCTCTGCACCACGGCGAAGTTATACATATGAACCTTGAATAAAAACGAATACATTATGTAATTCTAAATTGAGAATTTCCATTTCGTGTTTGTAATCCTTATTAATTTCGAGGTATTTTGTTGACGATAAACGTGTTGTTTAACACTGATGAAAATAATTTATCGAAAATCTTCTCGCCAAAACAGTCCGACATGTATATATTCCACTACTCGACAGTTAGATTTATTTGTGTACAAATGTGTGCTAAAAATAGCATTTTCATTGATTAAAATGATATTCATGATAATCCGAAGCTGTACGGAAATAGCCGAACATTTTTCATCGGGTAAAAAAGATATTCATCCGTGAAATTTGTGATTGTAACCTCATATTTCTATTGACTAATCTAAACTTTTAATGCACTGTAATTCGTTAAATGCCTACATTTAAAATTATTCTTTCTTTTAAATTGCTGGTTTTTAAGCAGTTTTGAGTGAGAACTACTTTGCGTTGTTAGGACTGTTAGGATAAACGGACTGTTAGACCGTGGATGTTAGCTATGTATTTACTGATCTTACGATCAGAAAATACAAAAAGTTGGTAAACATTTACATTAGCATGATACATCAGAAAATCATTGTGTTTTGGAGGGATTCGAACTTATGACCTCTGCCTTGCAAGCAACTGAACACAGTGCTATAGGTCATTGAGCTTAAGAATCAATTCCTTGATGCAATTGTCATATGTCAAAGATACTGTTTGGTTGTTTTTATAGCAATGTATGTGTGTGTTTACTCAGAGTAATAATGATCTGATCGGCCTAAAGTAAAAGGGTTACCATGAGTAAAAGTGAATATTGTACCCAATCCTAGAGCAGTCTTTTCTCTTATCGAGGGCAAGTGACTATAACGATTATAAGGCCTATATCAACAGTTTATAGCCAGTCTATTTGACACAATCCTTGAATTCTGTGCATTATGATGGCACAGATGTTGCCAGCTGAACTTGGTCTGCAATGGTTGCAGCTTAGAATTTTTTCCCCCCAGCAGGCAAAGGGTTAGCTACCATGCACCTCTTTACCAAAAATTAAACTTTCTGATCTATTTTTCATTGGAGAGGAATTCGTACTTGTACTTTTTGAGAAATGTGTTAATACTATTTTAGAAATGGGATGGAAAGATTGTATGTTAAACATGAGTTATTATAGACTGTTTTTGATTGACTTGGACAGAGAGAAAAGAAAATCAGGTTAATAGAATGAAAACAAGGAACGGAAAATGATAGGTGTGTGTTTAACTCGTCAGAACGCAAGGCAAGAGGGCATTTGTACTTCAGTCAAATATATAATACTCCCAATATATTGGTTGATTGTAACAAAGTGTCTGATTTAGATTGACTAGAAGAAATTGAAAGAGTTGATTGTTTAGAAATTCGACAGAAATTTTGATAGGAAAGTCATTAGAAAAAAGTAAACTGAATTGTGAATAGGTATTAAAAAGGATGAGAAAGAAATGTCTCTGTAAAAGTTTGTTTGTACCACAGGATAAGGTTAGAAAATCAAAAATATTCTTAATTCCAGAATAACAGAAAAAACTTATTGTCATGATCCCCTTGTCAGCAGTGGTGTTGTCATTTTCATTTGTTATACTTGATTAGTGGGTACGAGTGTCTAAAAAGAAGCATAATTACCTTATCTCTTTATGGATTTTGCGTTCTCTTCACAAATATGTAAAGTTAAGTAAAAATTGTAATGCAAATATTGAAAAACAGAAGAATTTTAATTTTCTTTTTTCAGAAATTACGGAAAGCATGTAAAGCAAATCCTTCAGATAGTAAACTTCAAGATAAGTTGCAAGAGAAGGAGAAGACATTGAAGATTTTAGAGGCACAGTTGATGAGCCTACCTGGAACTGGCAACTTTAACCGAGATTCACAGGTATAATATAAACAAAACATTGACTGGTTTTATGAAGTTGACTCCTTAGACTGGTTGAAATTTTAAGGGAGGGTTGATTCAGGGACTTTAAGATCACATTTTATTTGTCTTATGGAATGTCTAAAATTGTTCTGTTTGAAAAGCCTGCCTTGTAACGGTATAAAAAGATAGAAAAAGAGGAACTTTTTATATTGTCAGTTAAAGAACTGTATCCTTAATGGTCTATACTATAGGAGAAATACAAAGTGCAAACTGAAAACAAAAAAGGTTGGTCCTTCATAAGGCTCACATTTTGCTTACAGTTTGTGAAAGTGCAGCTTCAGAAATGAATACAATACTCAGAGCTTAAATTGAACATAGAAATTCAATTTTATTGCATTTACTCTGTAGTTGTCCTTCATAAATTTAAACTTGTTGTTCTTAAATTAAACTTGTCGTATTGCCCCCAGTATGAGAAAAAAAAAAAGATAAAACTGAACCTTCAATTGTTAAACATGAAATTGTTACAGAAATCGTTAAATTAAAGCTGTTAATACAATGTCATGGTAAAATGCTACCCAAAGTCACCAGAACAGTTTAAAGAAGAAATCTACATTTTCAAATGGTCATTAACTGTCTATGAAACACTGCTGATATGTTTGTTCATTGTGGAACCTTCCGTGTAACATTGTTTTGTCATTCAATGAAAAAATGGCGTCATTTAGTAAAGAAAAAATGGTCTGAAATGAAAATAGCATATTCTTTTCGGTCATGATTTTGACACTTCCATATTGAAATCTCTTTAATCAACAATGGACAGTACAAAATTTGAAGCTTGACAGGTCCATTATGTAAACATGGGGTTGAAATGAGAGGGAGTTAATAAGTTATGAGGAAGCTATGAGGTTTGTCTACTGGACAGCTTGATTTAGTGCCAGAATTTTGTCAAGAATTAAACTATGGATATGTAGCTTTTGATGTTAACAATGTGATAAGAGGATTATTGGCAGAGAAATGTGCTATTTATAGATTTTGCAGACGTAATCTGTTGCTGACGCACTAGTGGTAGTAACAGTCTTTTAATGTATATGTTTTGTATGTTGTTTGTACCAAGATTCAAGGACACGAAGTTAAAGGTCAAAAGAACTTTTTGCAAGTGAATAAATTGGAAAATGATGCTTCAATATAAATTGCATTCTGCTATAGGCTATTATGGCTAAGATTTGTAACAGGTTGAAATGTATATTGTAAGCCTTGCTTCTCCGATTTATTATACTTAACAAGCTGTCTTCTTGAACATTGCCCCCATAAGTGCTACACATTCCACAATATATATAATATACCTCATAAGAAAACATACCCTCATATGGCAACACATTCCTCATAATATATCACATCCCTCTTATAAGATGACATATTCCTCATAAGGTATTACATCTCATGACTGAAAACATCCCTCATAAGGTTACACACCTCTTATGAGAGAACATATCACACCCCTCATAATGTATTACATTTATTCTAAGGTAATAACTTGCTCATAAGATAACTCTCCCCTAACAGGTAACACATCCCCAAAAAGGGTGACATGTCTCTCATATTGTTACACATATCTGGAAGAGTTATTCATTCCTCATAAGGTGAACACACTCCTCATAAAGTAACACACTCCTCAAAAGGTTAAAAAAATATGTATGATCAATAAAATATTTATTTAACAGTGCTAACAACTTAATATAAACACTTGGAATGTTAATTTTTTTCCAGAAAAAAAAAACACTCAGTAATTCTTAGTAAAATCTGTTATATTAAAAAGTTTGAGTGAATACTAATAATTGGTGTTGGTTTCTTTCTATCTCACAATTGTGGAAAAAGTTCACCAAAGAAATAATAATCAATGTTTTGCCAAGAAAATTTATAGTTTAGAATTTTTATATAGAAATAGTAGAAAGTTGTGGTTAATACAGGGATTTCACCAATTTTGTTTCCTTTTAACAGTTTTCCTACAGTGAATGTGGCTGGATTTTTAGCTCACCTGTCACAAAGTGACAGGGTGAGCTTTTGTGATCGATTTTCGTTCGGCGTCCGTCCGGCGTCTGTCCGTAAACTTTTACTTTAAATGACATCTCCTCATAAACCACTAAGCCAATTTCATCCAAACTTCACAGGAATGTTCCTTTGGTGGTCACCTTTAAAAATTGTTCAAAGAATTTAATTCCATGCAGAACTCTGGTTGCCATGGCAACCGAAAGAAAAAACTTTAAATATCTTCTAAAACCATAAGAGCTAGAGCATAGATATTTGGCATGAAACATCTTCTAGTGAGTGTCTACCAAGTTTGTTCAAATTAAAGCCCTTGGGTCAAAATTGGCCCCGCCCCGGGGGGTCATTGATTTTCCCTATATGCATATAGTAAAAACTTAAAAAATCTTCTTTTAAAGAACTCAAAGAGCTATGGCTAAGATATTGAGCATCAAACATGTTCTAATAGGTGTCTACCAAGTTTGTTCAAATAAAAGCCCTGGGGTCAAAATTGGCCCCGCCCCAGGGGGGTCATTGATTTTCCCTATATGCATATAGTAAAAACTTAAAAAATCTTCTTTTAAAGAACCAAAAGAGTTAGAGCTAAGATATTTAGCATGAAACATGTTCTAATAAGTGTCTACCAAGTTTGTTCAAATAAAAGCCCTGGGGTCAAAATTGGCCCCGCCCCGGGGGGGTCATTGATTTTCCCTATATGCATATAGTAAAAACTTAAAAAATCTTCTTTTAAAGAACTCAAAGAGCTATGGCTAAGATATTTAGCATCAAACATGTTCTAATAGGTGTCTACCAAGTTTGTTCAAATAAAAGCCCTGGGGCCAAAATTGGCACCGCCCGGGGGTCATTGATTTTCCTTATATGTGTATAGCAAAAACTTAAAAAATCTTCTTTGAAAAAACCCAAATAGCTAGAGTTAAAATATTTAGCATGAAACATCTTTTAGTGAGTGTCTACAAAGTTTGTTCAAATAAAAGACCTGGGGTCAAAATTGGCCCCGCCCCGGGGGTCATTGATTTTCTTTATATGTGTATAGCAAAAACTTAAAATCTTCTTTGAAAAAACCCAAATAGCTAGAGTTTAGATATTAAGCATGAAACATCTTCTAGTAAGTGTCTACAAAGTTTGTTCAAATAAAAGCCCTGGCCCGGCCCCAGGGGTGTCATTGTTTTTAACTATATGTGTATAGTAAAAACTTTAAAAAAATCTTCTTTTAAAAAGCCCAATGAGCTAGAGCTTAGATGTTTAGCATGAAACATCTTCTTATGGGTGTCTACCAAGTTTGTGCAAATAAAAGCCCTTGGGTTAAATTGGCCCTGCAACGTTGGGGGTTGGGGGGCCTATATACAGGTGAGCGACCTCAGGGCCATCATGGCCCTCTTGTTATTTGATTTTTGTGTTTTTTTTATTAAAAGTAGTAAATGATATATGCTTTTCATATATCTGTAATATAATATTTTTCATTTTTCAGCCACCTCAGATAAATGTAGATTCAGAATCAGCCACAGATTCTCCGCACTCAGTGACCCCATGGGTAAGATATTCAGATTCTTATATTTATTTTATTTTTCTTGTGTACACATTTGCCTAGATAGTAGCTTACAATATTACCCTGACTATTCTTTTCTTTATTGTATATACTCGTAGGTTTTTTTTATGGTAATAATTCTTCAGTTTCAAATAGTACCTTGATGGTGAAAACGTCAACTATAAATATGTGTTATATATGTTTTATACTATACCAGATACTAGCACACCCTTTATTTACTCCTTTATCAATGTTACCTAGGTTTCTGGATGAATTTAAAATGTTCATACATGTAACAAAATACATGTATTTCTTACGTGCAAATAACTTAACAAGAAATAAAGGTGTGTACCCTTAGAATGCTGAAAATCTTAAATGAACTAGCCCAGCCTTCATTTTCAGAACTGTTCATTCTCAATTTTGGGGATATCAAGATGAAAAAAAATCAAGATATAGTAACTACATGTATGTCTAGGGGGTAATCTGAAATTGCAGGTACACAAACAAATTATTTTATTTTTTGCACTTTCCTCAAAAAAAAAGTGAGGCTGTGGTCAGGCAGTTCGACTTGTGACAGGGACATTTCATTCATTTTCAGTATTCTATTGGTTAAACAAAAGTTAACTTAGCACAAAAATTGCTGAAAATTGTTACATAGTGAAAAGCTTAGAATAATCTTATTTCACCCTGCATAGAAGTGTGTGAGTGTTTTTAAGATTGATGTTAAAATGCACTGTGTTAAACAAGCACTTTGTACGAGTGAGTGTAAATTACCTTCCCTTTGTCTAGTTGAGTAGTACATGTAAACCATGATAAGGTTTTTAGTCATTGTGAAAGTTAATAAGTTAAAGGGACTCCACTGAGATTTTTTTGACATGGAAATAATTTCTTCGAAGTTAATATTCATAAAATTATTTTGATGTAGGTCAAATCTTTCGCTCACTGTTTCCAGAATAATTATTCTTATTATGAATAAAACACACAAAAAAAACACTCTATTCACTCAAATGAAGCTGAATTGCACAAAAATACGATGTGCAATATATTTCATTATTATCTTTTGCATATCTTTCTGTTTAAAGTGTCCCAGCTGATCTATGTAAGAAATTCAGACCTTTTGGACCTCAGTGGAGTCCTTTGTTTTGTTAGAGGTAGAGTCTCTTTTTATGAAAAATGAATTTAACAAAAGGCTAGGGAAACCAATATGTTAAAACATTAAACACTATTTAAAATATATAAATTATCCTTTAACTTGAATGTTGTATTATGTTTAATTATTTTCAATCAAGGGAAGAAACTATGCACAGAATATCCTGCTTAATGTTATCAAAGGGAGATAATAAGCTTTTTCAGGATGTGTCTATCTATTTATAGAAATTATGACCACAGAAAGTAAATTATTATGATAAGATTTGTGTGCATGATTTTAATGTGTATTTATCGTTGTTTTTGATTCTGTAGCTTCCAAAGAAAGAGCGTAAACATATGAAACACAGCTCTTCCCCAGGGGCCATGTATAGCCCCGCCGAGGCCCAGGAAAGGGGTAGTGCAAATGTTTCTAGGTCAAAATCCGATGTTTCAACACGCAAAAATCCTCTTTCTGAGTATTCCTTTGGGCACCTGGGATATAAGAGAACAGAATCGAGTCCGGAGGTAGTAATGCACTTCTATTTGGAGTTTGAAACCACTAAATATTTTTGTATTTCCCTAAACTTGCCTGTTTTTTGCCATACCCATTATGTTTGATCTATATAGTTCATTATCAACTTTTTATACTTGTATATACATATAACCCCATTTATACTTCACAACACATTCAAAAATTGGTTGTCTTTTCGTGAAGTTTGAAAAAGCAGTATATGAAAACTAGTAAGTCTTTCGGCCAAAGAATGTAGCTTTTTAGATTTAATGTCTTCAAGAAATGGTATATACATGTATCTACTTTTTGATTGTTAGTGGAAATAATAATTTGGCTATGATACCAGCCTGCCAGTCTGCATATACATGCCTTCTTTAAGTCGTATGAGTTGCAACCGCTTTTAACCAAACCCTAGAAACATCGTTACACTAGCTGAGGCATAGATTGCAATTTGTCATAATTATATTAAATTTGTGGTTATTATATTAAAATGATTCATAGACAGTGTTGTGAGTATAAATGGGGCTAATTTGTTACTTCACTTGGATAGGTTTGGTTTTTGGTTTACGTATTTTTATGTTGCTCTGACATTGTAATCTTCGTTATCACGATAGTTCATATATGTTGTACAATCTTTTACTTATCACCGAATTAGAAACAAAACTTTTGACTTACACTTTTGCTCGTTCTGAATTTGAATGCTTTTTCAATGGCTGTAAAAGTATATTTTTTTGCGATAAAATTTACTCGTATAACCTTTATTTTTTTACTTTGTGTATATTTTATGTAAGTAAATGTAATTTTCCCATACGGCTGCCTAAATATAGCTTCGATGTAAATGCCGCTTACAAAAATATAAATACTTTAGCAAAGTATCTTCTTACATTTCTTGTATGAATTTGATTAGAACAAAAATTTTATAGTAAAAGTAGATTCTTAGTATTTAAACATAATATTGAAATTGATAATAATATTTTAAAATTTTTATGAATTACGGGTAAAATATGTATATATCTAAAAAAAAATTATTTTAATTTTGCTATCGTGATATTATTATGTTTGTTATAAATGTCGCCAAGTTTTATTTTTAGACATAAATTACTATTACCCTACAGGTGTCGCAAGTAAGCACAGGAAAAAAAGTAAAAAAAAGTGCCAGTTTCAAAGGGTTTTGTAGAACGTATGCCCGTAAGATGAAATCTAGCGTAAGAAAATAGTTCCGGTCATTGTTGAAAGTTTTTGTTTCATATTTTTTCACACGGTTATTGTACTAGTTGACATGCAGGGCAATGGTGTTTTGTTTCTTTGAAAATAGTAATTCATTTAACATTATTATTTGATCACAGACTAATTTGGGAGATCACCACAGCTTCAAATACAGTTATATTAAGTTGCTTTGAAATGTTACAAGAATTTTTAGACTACAGTTCAATCTTTGCGGAGGCCTTTGGGAAGTTGGTTGTTACTGACAGGTGTTGCTGTAGGGAGGTGAAATATATTGTGAAGTCTTACTTTGGGAAATTTTAATATGGTTGTTGGAGAGATTGCTGCTGTACAGAGGGCCTGCAGAGGTTGCACTGTAGTGTATCATAAGGCACGATTACTATCTCTTCACTTAACATAAAAAAAAATGTTTTATATATAAATAAATAGTAAACATTTGATCAAGGAAAATTTTTATTGATAATATAATAGTCAGCAAGTTACCTTGCTAAAACCAACAAAAAAAAGCTAGACGTAAACTTTTAATATTCAAGGTAAACGTAACTTTTGCCGAATTATATGGAAGCTCCTTTTAAAAATTGACATAACTTTAAGCTAGCATTAAATTTGTTCAAATTCAAAAGTTAGACAAATTTATGATAAGAGGTCAAGGGTTAAATTCTAGACATCTCAAATGCATGCATTTCAGGTTAAAGTTAATTTTATGGTATACAGTGTGGACAAGGTATATGAAAAAACAGTAAATGACCCACAGATGATGTACTTATAAATTTTTATGATGACAGTGTATATAATAAATTTTTTTTCGTCTTTTTGCTTGTTTTTGTTTTTTGTTTTTTTTTTTAATTAAAAAATTTTTTGTTACTCAACTTTTTGTTTAAGCCCGGAAAACTGTATAGATTAGTTAATATATAATTGCTAAAATATAAACATTTTCTTACCAATTTTCACAATTTTCAGGTATGCATTTATTCCTAAACTTGTTTTTCTTTTTTTACATAGACAAAATAGCACATGCATAATGTAATGTATATTTAAGTATTTCAAATTTTTTTGAAGTGACAAATTTTGTGTGATTTTTGTTTTGATCTTTTTCAATGGAAACAAATTAAATTTTTTTTATAACTAAGTTGTCACATTTAAAGAATCGTCAAGAGCATTTTGGTATGGACTAAATGGAACTGATGTCATAGATCAGTGTTTAAACTGGAATTATTACGTTCAGAAAAGTAATTCTAAGAAGTCTAAAAAACAATGACTTTAATTCAAATTGTTTATTTTCTTTGTTTCTGTGTTTAGAGGTCGGAGTCATTCCGAAGAAAGTTTGGTAAACCTAAAATGACAATCAGGAAGGTAAAAGGCCTGCTTGATTTCCACCAAAGCCCCATGTTAGAATAGGATGCGCTTGATTATTAGAAAAATTAAGATATATCAATTATATATACAGGAATATGTTCCTATTTGACCAAATTAACAATCTTGTATAGACAGCAGGCATTACCCAATATATTCTTCACTAATACAAACTGTTGACCAGTGGAATTCAAATAATTTTTATGTTGTTTTTATGTTGTGTGTTGTGTGTTATGATGTTATAGTATTATTTTTGCTTGAATACATTCATCAAATGTAAATTAGTTTGACATGCTAACTCTTAAGTCGATGGTCCTTAAGGTTTGGGAGTAAGAGTCAAGCGTGTTGCACATGTTTTTTCAGCGCTGATTTTTTGGTTGACAACAGTATGTCTTGCAACAGCCATTTTGACAGCCATTTATGTTCCATGCTTTAAAGCTCACCTGAGCAGGCTCAGGGTGTGATTTTAGGATCGTCGAATGTCCTTTTTCGGCCATTCTTTAACATTAAGGTTGATAACACTCTGATGGTCACATTTTTTGCCTCAATTGTCACCAAACTTGGCTAGATTGTTTGTCACACAAGTATAATCAAGAATCATTTAGAGCCTTACTAATCAGGTGGGCTATATAAGGACTAGCTTGGCCCTCTTGTTATGAGAGGAGATATGAATAAGCAGTTATTTGCAGTAATTCAGAATCAAGGTTTACTTGTAAGGTGATTGAAAGATATTAAAGCACTTTCTTAGTGTGCATGGTTATTAGGATATGATGTAAATGTTTGAGAGATCTGTGCTCTATTGAATGACAACATACAGGTTGTTCTTAGTACTAATAGAATTACTATAAACATGTCTGAATAAGGTTTTGAAACTGATAGATGACAGAATATAACTTTTAACTGTTTATCAGTAGAAATATTAAGTTGTAGACATTTTCTCCAGTTTGCATAATTTGGGTAAATATTGTTCTTCAGGTAGAAATGCTAAAATAATGTCAACCCAAATTCTAGGAAAAAATGATAGTCCTGATGTTGTATTGAAAAAAGAATTAATTCAATTGCACCTGACATCAAGTCAGTTTTCAAATATTTTTGAAAATATAATTACAACTGAGAAGGTGATTCTAATCAAGCAATATTAAAACAATCTGTGGGGATGATGACATTCAATGACATCATTGAAATGATTTTTTTTCCCCGCAAAAACTGTCACTTGATACAAACGTTAAAATAAATAACTTAATATTTTATTTTATTTTTTCAAAATACATTGAATGTCATGAATGTTGAATAGATAGATAATCAAAACAATATAAGACTAAGTATATATACATTGTAGTGGACGATACAGATAATTTTATGCAGTATGTTGTTATGGCATCATGATATGTTATTGTTTATCCACATGAAAAAGTCACAGATATCTGCATGTGATCACAACATTGATAGCATTAATTATACCCTTCTTTGCCTGCAAGATTGGGAAAGGCTTCTGCATGACTTTGAAGATGCACATGTTGACATGTCAGAGGTTCACTGTAACACTGAACCAACCATTTACTTAACCACTATGTTCATTAATTTATGATTATTAATTTATGGTGCAGTTTTATTTATTAACTTTCAAAGGGCCACTGTAGACAGGTGGTTAAGGTAGCTGACTTTAAGTCACTTGAACTTCACTGCTGTAGGTCCGAATCCCATGAGGGATTTTGGATATTTTCATTTGAGAAAGCTAACCAGCTAGCTTATGGAAAGTCTGTAGTTCTACTCGGGTGGCCATTTGCCCTAGAAAATTTGGCATGAAGGTTCAAGAGGTACCAAATGCCTTTTTTTACCAGTAAAACTAGGAAGTCGCCATATGACCTCAGTATTATCAAAAAAGGTTTATAACTTAATAGTCAGAATACTTACAATGTGTACTTTAACTTAATACTTCATTGTTTGTATCTACATAGTCCATAAAACAAGTTCAATGAACAGAAAATATTTGTTTGTTTGGTGTGAATATGCTAAATATACCAATAAAAAATGAGAAAATTGTAATATTTTCAAGAGTGCATTGCCCGAGTGAAAATTCAAATAGTTACTTTAATGTGTGATATATACCAAAAAATAACATATTTTCTTTTTATTTAATGCCTAATAAGAAAAAACCCGTGAATGTTTTACTGTTTTCATTAAAGCGTCGGAAACAGAAGCATGTGAAATAGATGACGTCAGATGTTTTAACAGCTACACAAATGCTGCCCCATTAAGTCATTAAATTTTGCAGTTATTGCTCTAAAGTAAATTTTAACAATTTTAAAAGAAATGGAGATAACTGACAATTAAGACTTAATTGCAACAATTAAATTAACAGAATTGTAAAAATTTAAACTTTGTTAAATAAGGTGTAGGAAAGCATATCAGTCACAGTGTGTGTGATATACCATGAGTGATATGGAATTTTTAAGGATAAAACCCAGTTTTTCACTGGTAACTATGAAATTAAACCAAGTTGTTCACTTGTTCTTTGTAACAGTGATATAAAAGTACATGAAGGATCTTTATTGCTGCAAAAAAAATGATTAAAATTATTTTTTTAAAGTGTGGGATTTTTTTCTAAGCATGAGGGAATTGTTTTAAAGTACACATCATATTTTTTATAACAGTTTCTCACATATTATTGTTCATGTTATTGTTACAAGGATGACCATCTTTGTTTTCTGTTTTTGAAATTATATTTAAAACATATTGATATTTTTTCATGCAGCTAACAATAAAGACACATGGTTATAATTTTTACATAGGATTTGTATAATTATAATATGATGATACTCATATATATGTGTGTATATACTGTTAAACATACTTGAACAATATTGATTTTCTGTCAATTTTCTCATGGTTGTATTTATTTTCAACTGAACATATGGATAGATAAATTATTGTAAAAAGTGGGCATCATTGTTAGTGAATGTTTGCTATTTGTTTGATGTTATAGCTATATAGAAAATATGGATAATATACAAAGTGTGATATCAGTGCTTAATAAAGGATATACCTTTGTAAAGCAACTTCAAGTCACTCCAAATAAGGTACTCATTGCTTTGGAAGTTTTATTAACGATCTGCCAAACTAAACATGCATTCCTTTTTCCATTGCACACAAATATAAATATGAAATCTTAAGCAAGGTAGGAAAGTAAACTGTCATGTCAGGTTGAGTGACTGGGTAGACAGAAGTGTAGAAGAAGAACAGTTAAACATTACCATCATGTTTTCTGATTTTATTATGTGGATGAGATTTGTAGCAGTTCTTACAACATCACAGGAAAAAATCTGAACTATTCTTTTGTCATTATTTGGACTAATGTTTTAAATCTGATTTTTTTTTTTCAGACTGCTTCTGTACCTTACACAGTTTCAGATCTGGGCTCTGATTCACCGTGTACCAGTCCAAGTTGTTCACCTACACCAATACATAGTCAAAACCTAGATATAGATACAGTTACTGGAGACTCCGGCATTGAGGTTTGCTATTATACTTGTTCTGCTTTGTTGTTATTGTTTCTATTTACTGTAGATTGGGACATTTTCGGGATATTTTTATTTTGCTAATATTTGCATATTGAATGCATCATGAATTCAAAAATAATTTTCATAATTTTTTATGCATTCTGTTATGGAAATTAATGAAGATTACCAAGGCTTGGGAGTTTTATTGGTAATATATGTATAAATGTATAAATGATCTTTTTAAAGACATATAAAATATTGAATATCAAAAAAATATAATAGGAGTAATTTTATTTATGTCGAAGAATCATTTTTACGATTTTTTTACAATCATTAAAAAAAGGCAAGATCAGGAATCAAACTCTGATCACCATGACTAAGTTGCACCTGTCAACAGCATTATCAGCTGGTTGGATAATGCATATATGCTTTTACATATTACCACTTTGAAAATAATATAAAATACCTGGAGTTTTTACCAAAATTTTTATTGAAATTAATATGGAAATTTCCGAACATTTCGAAAATGACATGGTGCTTTAATCAATTTTGTGACATCATGATAAAAATTGGTCTGCTTGCAGTTAGGACCATGGTTGTATTGTAATGTTACATTTATATTTTGGAAATGTTCAAAATTAGCAGTAAAGGCATAAGAATGTCACAAAAGTGCTTGTTAGTGACTCTCTGTGTGGTATAAATTATTCCATGTCTAGAACAAAGAAAGAATCCATGTGATCTCTTGTGTGGGCAAGAAGATGTTTCAGCAGTACAATGAACCTTTTATATAACAGATATGATATTTAAGATGATGTGACCAGCTTTTCTGGTGAACAGAATAACTCTCTTCCTGTTAGCTCAGACTATAACTAAGCTACCTGTAAGGAAAGTTGATTCTCGGATGTTCTCATGCAGATGAACAAGTGATTTATTCATTGAATAAAAGTAAGTCAAAGGGTTCGAATCTTCAGATAAAGGTATTTTCGTCATACTATTATTTTTTTTCATGAGTGTTTATTAAATCTTTGAAAATTATCTATTCTGTTTTACACAGGACGGAAGTCAGAACTCTATAGTGATGTCTACCAGGGCAAGTACGCATATAATTGGTATGGATGATGATGATTTTGCATCAGATGATGAAAGTGTAAGAATTTTTTACCGTGCCTGTTTTATGTGTCTAAATATAGCAGCAATGTGACGTGATAAATGTCTTAATGCACTGCTTGTCATGTAATAAATGCTATAGCAGTGTTTTATCTTTGTGTTTGAGCAAAAATGAAAAATACATCGCTAGATTGTCAGGCCTGATGATATATTTTTCATCGGCACTCAAAGACTTCGCAATTTTTGGTAATGTCTTTTCATTTTTCAAGTTCAGTAGTTATTTTATTTGTTATTTTATTATATACAAATAATACCTATGGTGGTTACCAAAATCTTAGGGCCTGATATTGATTTTTTGGGGTAAAAATCTTTTTGAGAAGTTTTCAATTGAATTAATCTTAAACAAAGATAATAATCTGAATTTGCATATTTTGGTGAATTTTAGCTTTTAGTTTACATAATGTGAACAGAAAACCAAGTGCTTTTAGTAGCCACCATTTTCTTGTGTAGAATTTTCAACTGTTTTGTAGGTATACAAGGGCATGTTTACATGAGTACTTATTTTGTTGTCATGTAACCATGGCCTGATAAATTACTGTTTTTGGTTAGCACATTGTACAAGAATTATTGCACCACTGTGAATAAGTTGTTTATCTTCCTTGATTTGTAAATAAATTAATGAAATTTTGTATCTTTACACAATTCCAAATAAATTTTGGTCAAGAAATAACAACTTTAATGGTAGTTTATCATTAAGACTTAGGGCTTTTTTTACATTAATAGGACTTAACATTTTATTAAAATATAATTATGTTACATTTTATCAAACACATAGTTCAATATGTAATGTTGAAAATATAAAAATGCATGGTCGCATGTATAACTTTTTATTTCTATAGATATTAGAATTTAACTAAAATTTTGTGTTTAAGAAATATTTCTGGCATGTCTGATCTACTGCACTGTTATGAACACTTTTTGAAGATATGAACACTTTTTGAAGAACACACTTTTTGAAGCTCACTGTTGGTCTCCGTACTAATTTTCATGAGAAAAAACAACAACTTTTTTTTCTTCATATAAGCAATTTTGATGGCTATATAGTGGATTTTTGTTTTGTTTTTAATGGGTGTAGAATATATTTAAAGAGAGGTGTAAAATGCACGATTTTCCAGTGAAATGTAGAAAATATTTTACTTCAGTGAGGTTATGTTTTATAATAAACAATTTTTTCTTTTATTAATGCTTGAATTCTTTCTTTTCTTAATGCTTGTCAATAAAATAAATAAACTTGATTTTCACAATGTGTGATATTCAGTAAATGGTATAAGTTATACCTCACTGAGAAAACTCAGTATTTCATTTAAAGTAGCATAAAAATTTGAAATGTTTATTTCAGTTTGACTACGAGCGAAGATCTAAACCTCCTGTCTCACCATTTTTGATTAAGCTTCAGAACTTTGAGGTTGTTTCAAAATCATCTTTCCATCATTTTCTGCACTTTGGCTTCATATACTGCTCCTTGTCGTTGCTAGGTTACACACTTTCAACAAAATAAAGTCTCGTCTTGTACTGGAAAATGTTTTACTTTGATAGAGTATTATCTTTTTACCTTCAAGACAACACTTTGTATAAATGTTGGAAGTTTGAAACTTTGCTGTACAATCTATATAACCATTTTATATCATTGACATTAAATGAGTGATCATTCTTAAAAAAGGACCATTTGTTAATATTGTCTTAATTGTTATAGTTACTGTTCCAAGTGAAAGATGTCTTCAGATTTACATTTGTAGTTATAAATGCATTTATCCAGCTTTTTTGGAGGAAATAAAAAAAAAAAATATATAGATACAAGATTATTAAAAAGTTACCAAAATGAAAATTCAGCAAACTTCAGGGAAAAAAATCATGATTTCTAAATATTTTTAAATGGGTAACAAAACTTTTAGCTTTGACCAACTTCCAGAATTTTTTATGATTTTTTTTGGAGGGGGGGGAGGGGGGGTGAAAGATTATAATGTGTTGTGAGCTGTTCTTAGCTTACGTACTTTCTAAGTTCAGTATGGATGGACTGTCATTTCAAATCATTATGTAACAAGTGGTCTTTTTATAGAATGATGACTCTTTAACATGTACTTGTATATTTATATACACAAATTAACATCTGCTATTTATAGAGAATATTACATTCTTATATCTTCCATTAACAAATAAGTAAAGGTTTTCTATATTGAAATGTGACAACAACACTGGTGAAAAATGAAAACAGACAATTCACACTAACATTACCTAGCTAAAACTAAAAATGTTTAGCTTTTGTCACCAGTAAAAACAAGGCCAGCCTGTTTGTTTGTGCAGACTGACCAGGCTCTATGCTGTAGGTAGCTCAATTTTTCGTATTTAGAGGATAAAATCAAACCTTGGCAAATTTATTACAACAAATTAGCATGTTATGAGTACTATATCTTTTGTGACTGCTGACTTTGTATAGTGGACTTGTGCCACTTTGATTTTGGAACAGTCCATTAATTTTTTGTACTTAAAAGGATTTCATTATCAAATACTAAAATTGGGCAGCTGCAAACAGTATAGAGCCCTGTCATACTGCATGGATATACTAGCTAGTATGAATACTGGTAGTGGCATAGATGTGTCATTGCTGTCAACATCTAAAGGGTCAAGGTCAAAAGATTGATATTGCTTAGCAACAAAGTTTCATTGCACCATGAACAGTTTGTTAGAAAGATGATATCAAGTTATAATGTAAAGTTTTGTTCACATTTTATTCACGTAGTATATTTAAAACCTACTCTTTACTTTCACTGCTGGAGTTTTGAATCCCACTAGGGGATGTTGACATTTCATTGATGTGAAGAAGTTAGATAACAGAAGTTTGATGTGGGTTTTTTTCAGTTGCATGTTTGATCCAATGACCATTACTAACTGGATTGTTATGATTTCAAATCTTTAACTCACCTTACCTAAAAAAAGCCGTATTCTACATTTAAGTTTATATAAAAAAGGGAAGTTGTGCTAGATTTCGATTTAAAATTTATGTTTTGAGGCCATAAATAACAATATAAAAAGGTGACTCAAAAGTCTGACAAGGGTTTATGATTGGTTACTTTGATTGGCAATAGGTACATTTAATTCCACAATGTCAGCTAGACTGCTGTGGTTGAAGTGCATTGTAGGAATGGCTAGAATAAATTACCATCTATAAAAATTGACCAGCCAAGATAAAAATTAAAATCTGACAAGATTCTATATACTGTTGGTTACTGAACTTTAGTGGTCCTAACATTGGACAGTGTTTTAAGGTTAAATACCAATATGCAATATGGGTAAATGGCTAACAGAAAAATTGTCATATGATTTATACCACACACATATATATTCATGTATTAAACAGATTGCTACTTAGACATGTATATATATCTAACAAGCTGTCACCTTTAAGAGAGATGACTTTAATATCATCCATGTGTCGTTGGTTGACATGTACATATTTTATTTTCCCCTTTTTGATTGTTTTTAGTTGAATTACTTAGTATTCAGATAAGATGTTTTTTTTCACAAAAAGATAGAAAATAGCTGTAGACTTGAAATTGTTATATTAACATAGTGTCCTACAGAATTATATAATATATTTGGATTAGTCCTATTTCTTAGCTCTCCTATTCTGTAACCCTTACAGGCAGGCCAGTAATGAATTTTTAGTCCCTTGGATTAGTTCTACATTTGTATATTTAGTTCATCTTCTTTTCTCTAAAACAAGACATCAATTGAAAGTCACTTTAACAAAAGGTTTAAATCCTAGGTCAAATATTACAGTACGAATGCTTTTTATCCAACACTCATAAATTGTTGAAACAAGTAAAACATAAGGAGCTATTGCCTTGTAGTAAAGGTGTCTGCTTATCAACCACGGGATTAAAGGTTCAAACCCTACTTAGGTCACAACATGTTAATTCCAGGAAGCAGACACCTTGAGGGTGGTTCAAATATGAGCTACAAGTGTTCTACCCAAGATTAAGTTAATAGCATTTAACTAAGTAACATATAAAAGTCATGATATGATTTTAACCAAAAGTTCGTTAAAACATGTATTATGAAGTGTGTCAAAGAAATTGAAGCATGGAATGTAGCAATGATACCATGTAGTCTGACCAGACACTCACATGTTGGCGGTTCTAAATTAATATTTAAAATATAATAATCTCTTAACCTTGTACCCTGCGGAAATCGTGAGTTATAAGCCTTTGCCCCAGAAATAGAGCCAGGCCAGCATCCTTGTCTGTGCAGTCTGACCAGGCTCAATACTGTTGGCTGCTCTATTTGCAGAAATCACCATTAGTCCTCAGTAAGATCACTGGTTTATTTTAACTGAACATTTTCACAATTTCTGCAGGGTAAAGGTGTAAGAGTAAGTTTAGCTTTCATTATGGGTTGTAGTTTCAATGTTTGAGAACTGGTTTAACACAGTGTATATACTAAAATAAATCACGCTCAAAATCAGTGAAATTTAGGTGCTGGTTTCCTTCGAGGGTTTGTTTTATATTGGCATAAAATCACGATCAGCTAGATTATGAAGGATTTCTTCACTGTCCAGTCACTGAATTAATACTAGTATATTCACTTTTCACATTATACAATATTTTGCATGGGATTGTATACTCAGAATTTACATTTTACAGCTGTTACTCATGATTTTATCTAGATAATTAAATAAAGATAATGAAATATAAACCAGGCTGCATGTTTATAGTGATATTCTAGCTTTGTTTACCAGGGAAACAAAGCGTAAAATCATTTAAATAGATCAGGATATACAATTTCAAGTTTAGAGCTATTTTAAGTCAAAATTGCTTTAAATTAAGAGCTTTTATGGCGAAAAATTTTGAAATTTAGAGCTTAAATGCCAAAATTGCTTGAAATTTAGAGCTTTATGTCAAATTGCTTTAAATTAAGAGCTTTTGATGTCAAAATTGCTTGAAATTTAGAGCTTTTATGTCAAAATCGTTTTAAATTTAGATCTTTTGTGTCAAAATTGCTTTATGCTTTAAACTGACAAAATTGCTTTGGAGTCTTTAATTCAAAACTCTTCAAATTCTCTTTTTCATTGACTGAATGGCTAATTAAGGTAACTCAAAGTACTAATTCTTCATATAACAACATGTCTCTCTAAAATTCCAATTAAGGTCATTCCAAATTCATAATAATGTAAAATTTGAACTCTGTTTTCATACCTAGTTTTTTTCACTTTAGTTACAAGCATGTACAGCATGCAATGTTTTTCTAACTCTGAAAAGAAATGTGTTATGAAATTGATATTGAATTTCTGATATGTATGTAATGTATGATAAAATATTTGTCTTGCAGACAGGGGACAGTAAAGTGTTCAGCGACCTACGTGTGTTGGAGACCAAGCCAGCTCACATGGCGATATTTATGCACTACGTTTTAACACATCATAATCCTGCGCCACTTTTATTCTATCAAATGACGAGTCTGTACATGAATGCTCAGGGCAGCTGTAAAGATTTAAAGAAATGGGCGTATGAAATTCATTCAACATTTATTGTACATTCAGCTGTAAGTAAAACAAAACCTTCTGTTAATATAGTATTATTGCTTGAAATGCTATACATTATTTCTTTCATTGAAAGTGCATTGTTTTGATTTAACATAAATAATTTCTATAAGAGTATATACAGAGTGTGTTTTTTATTGGTCAGAATGTGGTTCTAAACTGAGGCAGCAATGGTTATCAATGTAAGATTGCAACACTGGAAGATCTTGAAAAAAATGGAGGGACAAAATGAAAAAGAGATGAAGACAATATTGTAAAAAAAAACATTTTGTGTTTCATAAAGTTGTAGTCAAAGTTGTCCTGCGGGCTCATGGGATTAAAACTCTGCCCAGTCAAGTTGGTCTGTCCAACTGTCCACATTAAACTTGTCTGGCTTTCATAGGTCAAACTACTGATGGGATTTCAACCAAACTTCACAGTACCAACACTAGTTGTGCATGTGGCTGCCATGTTCCACTTTGCTGCACAAAATGGCCGCCAGCATGTCCTTGCAATATTCTTTATCTGTGAGAACCAGCTGATGTTATACTCGCACTACCACAAAATAGGGCCAGGCTGTTATGTGTAGCCATACAGTGTGCCATGGCCATATAATGTTTGATGTACAGAGTTATGATCTTTGCAATGGACTAGTTAACACTCGAAGCAAGAAGAGTTTGCGTTCCTTTGAGTGTTACTAAAGGTTATATATATACTTAAATTTATCTTTGATTGTGTTACAGCCTTTAAGAGTGCCATCATTGGGTGATCACATCGTACAAGAGGTAGATACTATGTTAATGTTCAAGTCAGAACGGGAAGAACAACTACGTTCTATATTTGGTAACGCACGGACTGTTGCTAAGGACGATGTACAGAAACTTCTAGAAGATCTCAGACAGAAGAAAGAACAAGGTATAGTCAGATGCAAAAATAGAATTATTGCATGACTGATGTTTGATGTCAGTATGAACAAAATCTGCATAATTGAACAGTTGTTATGGCTAATGATATTACGAAATGTTAAAAATTATCAAAAAAAGACACATTTAAATCTGATGTACATTGGTGCAAGTTTTCAGGCATATGCCTGAAGATTAGGTTTTTTGTGACAAATTTCATCATGTTTTACTATTAGATTATGTAGGAAAATGAATATGAATACAGTTTTCAGGTTTTTAAAATTTCGACTTGCACCCATGGATATAAATTCACATTTATCTCTGTATTGAGTTGCTTCATGTGAGAAAGCAATCCAGCTTGCTAACGATAAAGTATGTGGTTCTACCTGCTCTTGCTGGAAGGAGTACAGGAGATCTTTCTGAAGTAGGAAAGCTGAAAAGTCTCCAAGCTACCTTTATGTTATTGTGTTGATGTGATAATCATCCATCACAATCACCTTGGGTTGTAGCGCTGACAAAGAGCTTAATGTAGTGTTTTCACCTAAGTGTTGTTTAGTCTGTCTTTGGTCATTCCACTATTTTGTTGGTATAAGCAATTTGAAAGACTTCTAGTCTTCTTATGACTTAAAATTAAATAAATTCATGATATAGTTATTCATCAGATACTTAGTAATAATGTTATTATTGTTAAGTCTGCAAGGTTGTTCCACCAATAGAGTATGGCCTGCCATCATCTACCTTTGGACTTGGACCATATTGATTAGTTTAATCAATTAATTCTTTAAATTACTTGAATATACACTGAATGAACTGTTCCAAATTGGAGGGAGGACAATTTAATTACTTATGTTTATTATCGTTATGGTAGATGCTCTAAAAATGGTGTTGCATTTGAAACAATAAAAAAAATATGAGTAATGATTGCCTTGTTTGACAACTATGTAGATTAATGAATTGTCATTCATGTTTATTTTAGGTTTGATAGAGGGCTCAGGGGATCTGAAAGATCACATGGATAGAAGTGAAGAGTTAAAAATTGTAGAAAAATACTTGTTTTCTGATCTGGAAAAATGTGTGTAAGTATTTTGTGGTGTTAGGTGAAAAGAGACTTACTTAATTTATAAAGATTTTAATTGTGCCAGTTGTAATAGTAATAGAAGACTTTTGTGGTGCTTTTTTCCAACTTTTGAATATATTTCTTACCACAAATGGGTCATAAAACTTTTAGATGAAAATATAGTTAATTATTTTACCTTGTGTATAACATTGAAATTATATATGACAATTGGCCTTGTGTGTGACATTTGACCTTGTGTGTTGCAATTGACCTTGTGTCTGACATTTGAGCTTGTGTATGGAATTTGACCTTGTCTATGACATTTGACCTTGTGTGTTACACTTGACCTTGTGTATGACATTTGATCTTGAGTGTTACATTTGATCTTGTGTATGACATTTGACCTTGTGTTTGACATTTGACCTTGTGTGTTACATTTGACCTTGTGTGTAACATTTGACCTTGTGTGTTACAATTGACCTTGTGCTACATTTGACTTTGTGTATGTCATTAAACCTTGTGTATGACTTTGCTCCTGTTACAGATCAAGTGAAGAAGATGACAAAATGTCGGCCCAGGGCTGGGCGATCGCTACATTCCTCCGTCACAGTGGCCTCAGTAAACCCACTTCTCACAGTAGTAATATCTTAGAACGTGTGCCAAGTTTTGTCACTAAAGATAAACAGATGTCTAAATTTAAATTCAGTAATAAATCAAAGACCAAGGTATGAACCAATTTTATATTGTATACTTAAATATTAAGATTTTAATGTTACAAATGGCTTTGAAACTTTTAAACATGTAAGTCATATGAATTAATCTTGGAGGAATTAGTGATAAGATAAGGTATATTAAGATAAGGTGTATTTAAGGTTAGAACTTAAGTTAGCTTATAAAGTATAAAGATCCAGCTAGCTTACGGAACGTTGGTGGTTCCACTCAGGTGCCCGTTCGTGCCTGAAATAATGCACCTGAGTTCTTCCTCCACCAGTAAAGCTGGAACGTCGCGATATGACTTATACTGTGTCAATGTGACGTAAAACCCAAAACAAACAAATAAAAATAAAGTATAAAGAAGTTTTACCTCATATGCTGTAACAAAAATAGCAAGATATGATGTCCATAAATAAAAGTAGAGCAAAAATGATAAAAAATTGTGCATTTCTTGTATATGTGTTGTTTTCTCCATTCCAGAGCCATAAAGGTCATCAGTTTGTATTAAGTCATCTCTATAAAAAGGAAAACTGTCTGAAATGTAATAAAGTGCTATGGGGAGTTGGTTTCCAAGGTTACCAGTGTCAAAGTAAGTCTTCTTAGTAATATGCCGAATTTGTACTCAGTTCAGTAGAGGATAACTCTTGTTGCTTAAGTTCTGATTTAAATGTTTTATATGACAAGCAGTGAGTGTAAAGTTTTCGCTCAATGAAACAATATCTGGCCCCTGACAGGGTTTGAACCAACACAACTTGCAATTCTTAGATTGTTAGTCCTACTTGTTAACCATCCTTGCTGCACAATTAGGATATCAGTCCTAATTGATAACATAGGACCAAGGTTTTGTTATTTAGAGGCTTATTTTGGTAAAACAGCTGTTTTAAGCAGGGGTGTCCATGGATGAGTGGTAAAGGCCATTCACTTCAAACCACTTGCCCCTCACCACTGTGGTTTCAAAGACTTTTTCTCTCTCATGTGAGGAAGCTATCCAGCTAGCTTACGGAGTGTCATTGGTTGTTCCCTGTCTGTGCCTGAAATAATGCACGGAAGGACACCTGAGGTCTTCCCCCATCAGTAAAGCAAGAAAGTCCTGAGATGTTTTCCAAACCAGTCGATTTGGAAGTTTACCATATAGCCACTTCAGTGCACTTATGTCAGACCTGAATTCCTATCTTTCTCCATTTAATATCTTTATGTGATGTTTTATAGATTTTATATGCCGTGTTATTGATTTTATGCAGCATGTGATCTGTGTGTACATAGACAGTGTGTTGATGATCTAGAAGAAGTGTGTAATAAGAAGAAGAATAAACGTGCCTCAACTGCATTAAATGTCTTCAAACCAAAGTCATCGCAAGGTAAATACAAACTAATAGTCTTTGTTCACACTGACATGTTTTTAGTCTGTTTGATTTGTTTATTTTTTACATCCCACAATTTTAGAAATTTTGTGTGTGAAAGTTTCAGTGCATACTTTCCAAATATGCATGCCAGAAATTTAACAATAAGTCTAATGAGTTTATGTATTATATATTATATAAGGACGCTTTTCTGCTAAAATCACTTAAAAATGATTATTTTCATCACTTATGTACTTTGTTGTTTTAACTTTGTTGAATTGCCGTAAATTAAATTGTAGAAATAGTTAACACTATTTTTATTAGTATAGACAATTTATTTAGTGGATATTTCATTATCACTTTCACTTGAAATGCATATATTTGATCATAGAAGTATTAGATAATGTCTAATAAATTGAAAGTTTGCATTTTAAGGAATAACTTAAATAGAGGTTTTAAAAGTTAATGTTATACATGCTATTTTAAATTTAATTTTGGACCATATAAGTTTATTATGCAATCTGCTTTCTGAAATTCTGATATACTGCGCTAGCAATTTAATTTCTTCAATATTAAAAAAAAGAGCTTGCCATAAATTTCCCCAATAGTCATAGCAAAAAGGGGTATTGTTAATCTCTTGAAAAATAAAGAGTTAAATATCTTATTTAAGCAGACAAGGCTTTCCATACTTTCTACCCCGCAACAGGCAGTTGTGTGTTTTACTGTGTAACAAATTAAATGTGGCTTTCTGTGTTTGCTGAAAGTTTATATATTCAAATTGTTACATGTTAACAGTATGTTTTGTTCCCTTCCATTCCTGTTAGTCTGATGAATGGCTTTAGCATATATATATATATATAGTGTAAAAAAACTTGTATAGTAAGGAATGTTTTAATAATGGTAATGATATTAATATGTAGACATAATCAACAGAGTAATTAACAGAATAAATGTTTTCTTCTATACCATATTTGCCCATGTATAACTTCTTAGCATTTTGCTTGAAAGAAAAAAAGAATCGTATACTATGTTAAACCATACATGCTTTGTCTCGCTGACCTTTCTTTATATAGCAGACAATATAAGAGTAAGGTTCTAACCTTGTTAAATTGCCTGCCAAATAGGCTAACATATTAGGGTCATAGGTTCTGGAGGTTGAGCTTGGGCTGAGGCCTTGTTTTCTTTTCACAATTTGATTAACAACAGTATGTTCAGTTATACTAGTTTATCATGGCTTTTTTCAAATGATCCATGTGAAGACATTGGCCTGTTAATTGTTTATTATTTGTCTCTCATCGCTGATTCAGGAATCATGTACGATTAGTAGTCGGTCACTTGCACAGAAATTGGTTATTACTGGTTTGTTATCCAGGAAAAAGGGTAAAGTGGACTGCAATATGACAAAAACAGCATGTTAAAATTGGCTAGGAAACCAATTAGATAAATAGACTATTTCTTGAGAAGAAAGACATAAATAAGAAGCCTTTTTGTTTAAAGGTCAGAAGCCAAAGTATCAGGTCACAGGGTCCTTTATAAAAATTTGTGTTGCTTTATTGAAAATGGGTTAATATACAGATATCATCTTCATGGATCCGAGCTGCCTTAAATTGTTTTATTATCAGGTTATTTGTGGAACGTTTTACACAGGGATGCTCTGAAATGACACTTGTTTGTTTTTAGCTCACCTGTCACAAAGTGACAGGGTGAGCTTTTGTGATCGCTTTTCGTCCGGCGTCCGTCCGTCCGTCCGTAAACTTTTACTTTAAATGACATCTCCTCATAAACCACTAAGCCAATTTCATCCAAACTTCACAGGAATGTTCCTTTGGTGGTCACCTTTGAAAATTGTTCAAAGAATTTAATTCCATGCAGAACTCTGGTTGCCATGGCAACGGAAAGAAAAAACTTTAAATATCTTCTTTTAAAAAACCCTGAGAGCTAGAGCTTAGATATTTGGCATGAAGCATCTTCTAGTGAGTGACTACCAAGTTTGTTCAAATAAAAGCCATGGGGTCAAAATTGGCCCCGCCCCATGGGGTCATTGATTTTCCCTATATACATATAGTAAAAACTTAAAAAAATCTTCTTATAAAGAACCCAAAAAGCTAGAGTTAAGATATTTAGCATGAAACATGTTCTAATGGGTGTCTACCAAGTTTGTTCAAATAAAAGCCCTGGGGTCAAAATTGGCCCCGCCCCAGGGGGTTATTGATTTTCCCTATATGCATATAGTAAAAACTTAAAAAATCTTCTTTTAAAGACCCAAAGAGCTAGAGCTAAGATATTTAGCATGAAACATGTTCTAATGGGTGTCTACCAAGTTTGTTCAAATAAATTCCCTGGGATCAAAATTGGCCTCGTCCCGGGGGTCATTGATTTTCCTTATATGTACAGCAAAAACTTCAAAAATCTTCTATGAAAAAACCCAAATAGCTAGAGTTTAGATATTAAGCATGAAACATTTTCTAGTGAGTGTCTATCTAGTTTGTTCAAATAAAAGCCCTTGGGTCAAAACTGTCCCCGCCCCTGGGGTGTCAATGTTTTTAACTATATTTGTATAGTAAAAACATAAAAATCTTCTTTTAAAAAACCCTGAGAGCTAGAGCTTAGATATTTGGCATGAAGCATATTCTAGTGAGTGTCTACCAAGTTTGTTCAAATAAAAGCCCTGGGGTCAAAATTGGCCCCGCCCCAGGGGGTTATTGATTTTCCCTATATGCATATAGTAAAAACTTAAAAAATCTTCTTTTAAAGAACTCAAAGAGCTAGAGCTAAGATATTTAGCATGAAACATGTTCTAATGGGTGTCTACCAAGTTTGTTCAAATAAATTCCCTGGGGTCAAAATTGGCCCCGTCCCGGGGGTCATTGATCTCCTTATATGTACAGCAAAAACTTCAAAAATCTTCTATGAAAAAACCCAAATAGCTAGAGTTTAGATATTAAGCATGAAACATCTTCTAGTGAGTGTCTATCAAGTTTGTTCAAATAAAAGCCCTGGGGTCAAAACTGTCCCCGCCCCTGGGGTGTCAATGTTTTTAACTATATTTGTATAGTAAAAACATAAAAATCTTCTTTTAAAAAACCCAGTGAGCTAGAGCTTAGATATTTAGCATGAAACATCTTCTTATGGTTTTTTACCAAGTTTGTTCAAATAAAAGCCCTTGGGTTAAAATTGGCCCTGGCGGGGGAGGGGGGGGGGGCTGGTCATTGTTTTACATTATATGTGTGTAGTAAAAACTAAACATCATGAAACATCTTCTAATGGGTGTCTTCTAAGTTTGTTCAAATAAAAGCCCTGGGGTTTAAACTGGCCCCGCTCCGGGGGCCTATATACAGGTGAGCGACCTCAGGGCCATCATGGCCCTCTTGTTTCTTTGACATAAGCATTTTTTCCTTTGCTGTAAGCAATTTATATACTATTGTTACATAGGTATATCGGTGCGATCTGCCTTGTCCGACATAATAACATCAGGTAACATTATTGCTTATAGACTTAAACACTGTGTACAGCTTCTGCTTATCTCTAACAATATTATACTAGCATGACCATTTCCAATTTAGTGTCAAACATTCACATTACATTTGATTATACTTGATGTTTGTATATAGTCATTACTTTAATTACTAATAAAAATGTACAATAATAAAGTTATGATAATGAAATATATATGGATGATAATTATTATGATATAACATGATAATAATGGTGAATATGGTATTTTTCTTTTTTTGAAATGATTCTCGATAGGTGAGCCTTATTTGATTAAGACTTTAATCCAACATTATGGTTTATCAGCCCTACATTTCTTCCATGAAATTTGACAATATTCTGTGACAAAACAAGGTTAATTCAAGTACATAAATTTTGAATGCTTTTTAGCCAAGCTGGTAAATAACTCAATAAATATTGGAAAGATATGACCACAATTTATGTTTGGAGATTTATTATAAAAATTTCTGCCTAGAAAAAATAAATTGTACTACCATAAGCATCTGTTAATTTATCAACCTTTTATATGGGCCAAGAAATTGACCTATTTGCTTTGAGTGTGGCTTAGTGTAGTGGAAATAATCATGGTAATTCATGTATTGCTTGTTATTTTGGAAGAAAGAAACGCCTAAATGCTTATAAGAGTGGCATAGTTTAGTGAGAGCAGTGTGGAGGGGGAAGATTTGCTAGTAGTGAGGTTGACACACTAGTGCCATTAGTATAAAAACTAAACTAGTTTTTGTGGTCTCTTTGGCTGGGTAGTTCAGGTCGTTGACTTTAAACCAATGGTAACTCGCTGGTATGGGTTTGAATGGGACCAGGGACTTTGGATTCTTTCATGTGAGAAAGCTATCCAGCTGACTTATGAATGTTTAGTGGTTCTACTCCTGACTAAAGTAATGCATGGTGGGACTTCTGGTTATTCAAGCTTTAGTATTTGGTTTTGAAATCTATGAACTAATAATTTAGGTACATTATCAGTTGAGTGTAATAATATTTGAGCCTGGAATAATACTTAAGATGATTCATTGTGGGCGAATATATTGTATTAATCTGGAAACCTGCCTAGGTGATTTAACTTGTGAAAATATGTTTTTGAAATTATAAACAATTAACAAGTGTAATTGGATAAATCAAAACACAATCTGCTTTTGATTTAGAAAATTTGGTTTCATATTGAATCATGTAATTAATAATGTTTTATTACATGTTTACTGTAGAATGTATTTATTATTATTTTAACAATTTGATAATTCTCATAAATTTAACAATAGAATAATTACTCAAAATATAAGTAATAAAAATGAAATTGAAGGTTGAATGTTCACATAGTTTCTGTATTGATTAATATAAAGAACACCACCACTATATGTACTGATAAAAAATATATATTTACAAAATCAACTATACTTTTTATTAAGTAAACCCTTAATGGTTATACGTTATATTTTCATAGTTTCTTCCCAAATTGTTAATAGGGTTGGTATTATAAGAAACAAAGTTGAAAGCTTGTTTGATGCTATTTGATCAGTACATTTGTAACTTAGGATTGAACAAGGAGCAGTTACGTAATGGTTGATGTTTCTGCCACTCAACGAAGCAGTTGTGTGTTCGAGCCTAAAACTAAGGTCATGGATATCTTTCCCTCATAATGACACCAGTACTGGCCAGTCCCAGGAACCAGACTCTACATGATTAATATTACACATAGTTTTAAAAACTTGCCTCACTATTGAGCGAAGAAATGTTCAATAAAAAGGATTTTATATACAAAAATGTTTGTATTTTTAACCATTAACAGCTAACATTTTGTGTTGATTAAAATTTTGTATAGTCCTGTTACAGTTATATAACTGTATAAAACATTCATTGTTAATGGAAAAGAATATAACATTCAAAATGAATATTCATACACTCTTGTAAAAGGTATACCATATAATTCATATATACAATAATATATATATTGTAGATGAAACATAACATCTGTTAGTGTACCAATAAGTTCATCAATTAAACGTGATTTCCAATTTCAGGTTATATAGCCCTATATAAACAGTTGTTTTGAAATGCTAGGGCTATATTGCAAACAACCATTTATAGAGGGTCATATAACCTGTCAAAAATATTGATGACTAATAATATACCGTTATTAAGTTATTGTTAAGATGTCAAATATTTATAACAAATTTATAATACAGCAAGCATCTTTTTTAAGAGAAAAAATGAGATTTCCTCATAAATTGACAGCAGCTGTGTATATAAATCTATATAAATGTCACGATTGTCTAGTGAAAGCGACAAGCATTATTTTAATAAACATGATTAAAAATTATGCCACATTATACTTCATATCTTTTTAACATACAGAAATCTACGCATAAAAGAAATAGAAATTATATTAATACAAATATTAAGAATAGTAATGCTCTGGACAGCAAAGACCTCTCTGAATATTTGTTAAACTACACAAAAATTAGCGCAGAAATACGAACCACTTGCAGTAGCTTTTTTCAAATGCTAATAGTTTACACTCATATTGTATGGTTGTCTCGTATAGACCACTCTTGTAGCTGTTATATCTCATTTACACACTCCCCTGAACTTTAATGAATGTGCAATATATACATGTGAACACACAAAATATGGATGACATGCACATCAAGCAAATAAAACTCTGCCTTTTTCTCTAGAACTCTATCTCTATCCACCTAGTTTGTTGTAAATTGTCTTTTAAAGGTCACCTCGATGTAAAGTGCATGACTAGGTTTATTTGTATCAAGGCATCAATTAAAGCACAGAACATTTGTATAAATTTGGTATAACTTTACTGGAACTTATTTTTAAGTCGATCAGCATTATCCATTTAATTTCAACTCGATGCTAGATTTTTGTCTTTGTTTCAATATTTGAAACAAGCTGTAGAAATAAATTTACATAGAAGCAATTACATCCTTGTAAAACAGTTCATTATACCCACATTAATCTTTCAATACCTTGTACCTTGTCAGACAGTGCTTATTGGTTGTGGCATTGTAATGGTACCAAAAAAAAAAAAATTGGGTGTACAAGCAATGTAAAGGTTATGGTACATCCTGAAACTAATGTGGATAATTTAGTATGATAATTTGAAAATATTGTTGTTTTGTTTAAAGCAATACCAATGACATAAGTTTGTTGTTGTTTTCAGCAACACCAATGATAAATGTGAATATAGTTTAGATTATTGTTGTTTTCAGCAACATAAATATGAATGTAGTTAAGATTATTGTTGTTTTCAACAACACCAATGATAATTGTGAATGTAGTTAGGTCTTTTTCAACAAGACCAAGGATAATTGTGAATGTAATTAAGTTTATTGTTGTTTTCAGCAACACCAATGATAAGTGTGAATGTAATTATGTTTATTGTTGTTTTCAGCAACACCAATGATAAGTGTGAATGTAATTAAGTTTATTGTTGTTTTCAGCAACACCAATGATAAATGATGCGGAGAGGGAACAAGTTGGCAGTCCTACTTCCAATCAACCAAATGTTTTTACTCAACCACTTAAAGATCCTGAAGACAAGGAAATCAGTAAGATTTTGAAGAGTTATTTTACATGAAATACATGGAATCTTTTTTTAGTCAGATGGACTCATTATCACAAATGTGATAAAAGTTCATATTTGCAAGTATACTATTTGTGAAAATATTAACAAAAGTCTTTTCTGTTTGTTAACATCTTGACCAAAACTGATTTTATTGACCTTTCATATTCATTCACTTTATATATTCTAGGCCAATATGACGTATGATTTATTCATTTTTTTCTTCATTAAGAGATACATATATAATTTGTTTCAGACGCATTCAAGGAACAAGGCCATTCAGTCGGGAGCTTAGTGAACCGGTTCGAGAAACAGAGTCCGGAACAGGAAACAGCCGGAAGGTTTGTTTACTTATCTGTGTTCATTATTGTTTATGAAGACAAGACAGAGGTGCATGATATGTCGGTGGTTGTCACAGAAAGGTTAATTGATGTTGCTATAGGTTACTAAAGTCATATAAGGAAGGTAATTTATTATTCTATGGAGGTTATTAGGTTGGTTTAAACATTATTGATTTCTTCTTTCATATTTTCTAAACTTAATTTAATGCATAAAATACATATAGGATTGAGTATGAAACTCCTCACATTAGGTTACTACTACAACTATTCAAGGGAGGTAATGAATGAATTCAAGGGAGGTAATTTATTGAATAAAGAGAGGTTATTAATGAATTTAAGGGAGGTTATTTATTATTCAAGGGAGGTTATTTATTATTCAAGGGAGGTAATTTATTCAAGACAAGTAATTGGACCAGAGAAGGTATTTGAGGAAGATATCTTTTCATTTGAAAATAGTATAATTTTACACTGTAATATGTTCAGGAAGATTGGACAAATTGTAACATTATTTAGGTAGCATATGCCCTTCAAAACTCATATAGTTGGGACTGAATATTACCACTACAAATTAAGAAGAAACCAAAGTAAGCGTAGTTGCAGAAATGCATAATGCCATGAAAATTAATATGACATTTCTCCTTGGCCTTTCAGTTTCTTATGTACATAGTTGAAAAAAACAAAACAACAACTCAAAACAAAAGGTGGTAGTGTGATTGCTAATCTGGTGAAATCCTATTTTTGCATGTTGTTAATGATTTTGTTGAAATACCAATATGAAAGTAAACAAATGGTAAACATTGTAATATGTTGGTAGGTATAATAGATTTGGTTACTCACGGCGATCCGCTGCAGAATTTTCACCGAGGTAAGCTAACTTGCATTGAAACAAAACACTCTGAGCCAAAACATTTACATGTACAATAAAATAAGGAATCTAGGTGAAGCAAGGGCTTATTTTGAAAGGATAGTATGTTAAGAGGAATTTATTAAGAAACATACATTTTTCAAGCCCAGTAAATCGTAAATGATGTAAATATTCTTTGTAAGGAAAATATTGATATTTGATTACTTGATTTTGCCATTATTTTGGCATTGACATCCTTATTTTTTAAAAGAAAATTTAGACAGTTATAGTATACTTTAGTGACACAGGGATTATAAAACTGCACTTTTGTAAACTTCATTTTGATTGGACAATTGTGATGTTTATATAACCTGTGTACTAATGCTGCAAATTTATGATGTAATTTTTATTAAAGCAAGGAAAAAATTTTGTAGTATCATAAAATTGTGATAAACACTTTAGACTAATCAGTTATACAATACTGTAGTGACTCAGCGATTATAAAATGGCACTTTTGTGAAATTGTGATAAATACTTTTGACAACTTATATGACTGTTTTATGAAACATTTATAGGCAATATAACCCATACATAAAAGCTAAGGTTATATAAGCTTTCAACTGTTTAAAATGGGTCATATAACATGTCATGTGTTGTAACTGAGGAATGAAAATAAGATCTTAAAGCAGCATGCCTCCAGATTTCATGCTTATTTTCATAAAATTTTGAAAATGTATTTAAAGTAAATATTGTGAAGTGAACAAAGAAAGTAATTTATATATTGCAAACGACACTTGCAATCCACGTAAATTAACAAAAGGAGGTCAAAATATGCAAAAAAAGCCCCGACTGTGTTAGTCACACAGTAGAAATACTGTGATAGATACTACAAAATCAGTCAATAATTGCACAGAGCATGTAAATTATTACTTGAATCTTGAATTAAAAATCTTTCTCAAGTTTGATTATCTTGAGATATTTTGGCTTATCTTGAGGCATGCAGCTTTAAATGCTGTATAATTTATGAATAAGGGGGAGTCTAAATTCTAAAAATAGATCTCAGAGTGTTTAATGTTTGCAATAATGATACAGTACACTCTCTGTTTTATATGTAGCATGACCTCATGATTATGTGTACCTTTAGGAGAGAACAAAACAACATTCTGATTACTGTCTCCATGCATAAAGTGATAAAATATATATAATTTATTGCATAATGTTTAGCTTCTAATTAATCCTTAACCAGCTGAATTTGTATAATGGACTTGCCCTTTTTATCCCCCGCCGAAAAATTTCGGCGGAGGATATAGAAATAGTCTCCGTCCGTCCGTCCTTCCGTCCGAAATTTTTGTCCGGAGCATATCTCTAAAAGTATTTGAGTTATCAACTTGAAACTTCATAGGTGGATAGACCTCATTGAGGAGGAGTGCAGTGCACAAGAATGATAACTTTACCTTGCATGATTTTTGAGTTATTGCCCTTTGTTATTTTTCAAAATTGATTTTTGTCCAGAGCATAACTCCAAAAGCCTATGAGATATTAACATGAAACTTCATAGGTGCATAGATCTCACTCAGGAGGTGTGCAGTGCACAAGAATGATAACTCTTCCTTTCATAATTTTTGAGTTATTGCCCTTTGTTATTTTTCATACCTAATTTTTCACCTGAGTGGAGCATAATTCAAAAAGTGTTTGAGATATCAACATGAAATGTCATAGAAGGATAGATCTTATTGAGGAGGAATGTTGTGCGCAAGAATGATAACTCTTCCCTATACAATTTTTGAGTTATTGCCCTTTGTTGTTTTTTTTCATGCTATTTTGTCCAGAGCTTATCTCAAAAAGTATTTGAGTTATCAACTTGAAACTTCATAGGTAGATGGATCTCATTGAGGAGGAGTGCAGTGCTGAAGAATGATAACTCTACCCTGCATTATTTTTGAGTTATTGCCCTTTGTTATTTTTCAAAATTAATTTTTGTCCAGAGCATAACTCAAAAAGCCTTTGAGATATCAAAATGAAACTTCATAGGTGCATAGATCTCACTCAGGAGGTGTGCACTGCACAAGAATGATAACTGTACCTTTTATAATTTTTGAGTTTTTGCCCTTTGTTATTTTTCATACTTAATTTTTCAATTCAATTTTTTTCTCAAAAAGTATTTGAGGTATCAACTTGAAACTTCATAGGTGGATAGATTTTACTGAGGAGGGATGCAGCACACAAGAATGATTACCTACCCTGGATTATTTTTCAATTATTGCCCTTTGTTATTTTCAGCCATCAGTATTCACATAGGTTTCAAATCTGTAATCACTATAGCCATCAGTTTTCATTACCAAAAGACCTCTTAAAATGGAATTATTCTGCTCTACTACATATACATTCTTCCAATGAGCAAACACATTCGGCGGGGGATGGCCATGTTGACATGGCTTTTGTTTGAATTTGGAACAGTCCATTTGTATTTTAAAGGGATTTCAATATAGAAATACAAAATATTTAGCCGGCAACAGTATAGAGCTTAATCCAGACTGCATGGACGTGCAGGCTGGCCTGGCTTTATACTGGTGGCAAAGGTTTATCGTGGTTTGATTCTAGCCGGTTAAGGGTTTATATAAATAAATGCAATACACCTTCATTACATAGACCCCCCAGTTTATGAATAGAACATGAATGTAGAGAGTAGCATGTAAGTAAAAGTATCAGCAAGCATTTGTGGTTTAGTACTGTATTATAAGAAATACCCCAGTTATCTGCCCTTAGATGATTCAAAATATGGTATAGTAAATTAGTTTGTATGAACAGTGGTTAGACATATAAAATAACATTTTTCTCAGTCGGGAGAAATCAGTTCGATATAACAAGCATCAATTTAAGCTACACAGTTACGGAACCTGTTAAAAGACACGACTTCTAGTGTAAGTGAATTGTCCCCCTTTGATAACATGAAAGAGACATTGGAATTGATGTTCAAATTACATTCATAGACCAATTTCTTCTTCTAATGTACAGATTATGATTTCTTGAATTCTAGAATTACCAGGAAAAATGCTATATCACCAAGGTAAGGTTTCACTCTGGAAATATCCCCTTGAGTCTGTACGACATTTTATCGCTAGACATTATTGTAGTAAAGTTTCTTCAGATTAAGAAATATTTTTAAATTTTTACTTTCATACATCGTTTGGAAACAAAGGAAAAAAGGGTAATAACAATTATAAGTTCGAAATGTTTTCCTCGAGTCTTCGCTAGATATTATTATAGTAAACTTATTTTGTCACATTAAGTAATGTATTAATTTTTTACTTTCATGCTTCGTTCGGAAATAAAGGAAAAAGAGGTGAAAACATTTAGAAGTTTGAAATGTTTTCTGTTTATCATTATATGTTGTGGAATTTTAATTTTGTATTAAGCACAAAATTTGATTTTAAAGAATGGTTTGCAGTTTTTCAGTTGCTTTATTATAGAAGCACATTTTGATTTTGATTCTTTTTACTGACACAAAAGAAGAAGAATTTACTCAATAAATAAATGTAGTTGATATACTTGAATGTAGATAATTTATTGATTTACTTGAATGTAGAGATTTAATTGATTAACTTAAATTAGAATGATGTGAAGTGGGTTATTTATTTATTTTTGACATCTAACATAAAGAATTAATTTATTTGATTGAGGTTAGAATGATGTAGAATAGTTAATTGATTTATTTGATATAAAACATAATATACATGAGGAATTAATTGACTTTTTTAAGCATTCAAAATGACAATAATTAATTGATTAAATATTCAATATCTTGCATACTGAATTAATGGATTTAACTTTAAAAAAATGACAAGAATTAATTGATTTATTCAATATCATACATAATTAATTGATTTAACCATCTAAAATGTCAAGAATTAATTGATTTAATTTTGATATAGAGATTTATTAATCATATTATATACTACAATAATTGTTTAGACACAGTCGTCGTCCCAGTATGAACCAATCATTGTCAGTTCCGCCAAGGTAAACACACATTCCCCTATACCTTCAATGCAAAAACATTCCAAATCAGAGCAATAGAACTTCTCTTAGAATAAAATACATATATTATCTCTACCATGTATAACTTCTTAGAAATTTACGCTCGTTAACTTTATTTACATGTATAATTATGTAAATGTACAACATTCTATCTCTGTCTATTTTACTATTGATAATTCTTATAAGTAAACATTAACTTTTTGAAATATGTACATTGTAATTCATGATTAAATTACTCGTAACCTGCAGAAGTTATGTAATAGATTTGTCCAACTTAAAATTTAGAACAGTCCATTTTGAAAATTAGGGGATTTCAATATGGAAATACAAAAATTGACCTGGTCAGACTACAGGGATGTACAGGCTGACCTTGATCAAAAGGTCATCACTTCTGGTCCCAGCAGGTCAAAGGTCGTTATGCCAAATTTTCATGTTGATAAGACATTATACCATACAGATACATTATTAGGTTCTTCTGCAGTTTAAGGTTGAGAGCACCACTATTCTATGTGTGTATGAATTATGTAAGATATAGAATAGTTTTGCATTGACCTTAAAAAAATTGTTTAATGGATAAATTAGTAATGGAAGATATATGAAATTGTGAAATTCATTTCGGTTGTTTGAATTCTTAATTTGTCATTAATGACTTACAGCTTATTATATTGTATAATTTTATTTATTTTAATATTTAAATTGACATTTATTTTAAGGAATTTCTGTAACTATATGAGAAAAAATTACTATTTTTAGGATGATACCAGAATATGAATTAGACTATGATTGGTATAGCACATTGTTAAAAGCTTTACAAAATCCTCAAAAAATTTGTCCTGTCTTAAAAAATTGTTCAAACCCCTCCACAATTTTAAAGCTTTTCAAACCCCTTTAAATTTAGCTTTTCAAACCTTTCAAAAAGTTGGTAAAGTGGCACAAAAAGTTTACCCAACATGCTTTAGCTTTTACCTTTAAAAGATTTACCAATGGCATAAGCACATTTTACATGATCATTTTAGCTTTTTAGAGCACATTTCACATTATGAATTTTCTTTTCCCAACAGTCATGACTGTGATCATAAAAAAATTTCCATTCAGCACAATGTTTATTGTTACCATGTATTGATATTCTTGTAATTTCCACATACTTAATTATGCCTTAAGTGTCTTAAAATCATGTCCCACAATCTCAAATTTTGTCATTTTCTTAGTATCATATGATTAATTGTTTGACATTTGCAGTCTTTAGCAAGATAAAAGCCTGATTTATAATGCACATATCACATTAGTTAACATTTATTTGACAAACCACAGTTCATTGATACAAACAACAAAAACAACAATAAAAATACAAACAAGCAAGATAGGGTCAGTTGAGGTCATCTGAGTCATGTTGGGAAGTTTTACAGGAAGTAGATGAATGTTTATTTTGAGACCATATATTTATTACTAGTCTGATAGTTAGCCAATCAGATACCGGGACTTTAGAGACTGGTCTACTGATTATTTCCTTACTTTTTACATGTTTAAAATGATTTGAACTTCAGAGAAATAGTAACCACTGCAGTCGTGTAAATTGTTTGATATTTTGTTGCCTTGTATTTAATGAAACATTTGTGAAACATTGTGAAAGTTAAATCTATGTATAGGGCCTCGGTGGGTAGGTGGTCAAAGTGACTAAGACTTTAATTCACTTGTCCCTCAATGTTGTGGGTTCGAATCCCAATTCAAGCTAGTTTATAGAAGACTGGTGGGTCTGCTCAGGGGCCAAGTTGTGCCTGAAATAATGCACAAGGGGATGTACTGGTAATGCAGAAAAGTTGCTAAAAGACCTTTATGTTGTCAATGTGACTTAAAAATCAATTAAAAACTATATGAGCCGCGTCACGAAAAAACCAACATAATGTGTTTGTGACCAGCATGTAACCAGACCAGCCTGCGCATCCGCGCAGTCTGATCAGGATCCATGCTGTTCGCTTACCAACTCTATTAGAAGTAGAGAAACTGATAGCGAACAGCATGGATCCTGATCAGGCTGGTCTGGATCCATGCTGGTCGCAAACGCACTATGTTGGTTTTGTCGTGACGCAGCTCATATATAATATTATATATATATATGTGTCTATCCATCTATGATAATATAATTAAATATCCGATTGCATATAAAGAGCATGTCCTCCACTGATCTAGTGTGTATAACAGATTACTTCCGAGCTTTTATCTAGCCCTATTTCTTTTTGTAAAGGGCAAACTATACACTTGTTAACAGGCCTGATAAATACTCTATATGCATATATTTTATAAATATATATATATAGCATTCTAGAATGACGTGAATTCGATTTCCTGACTTCTAAGTATCAAACTTTTCTCTATGTTAGTTGTTATAGCTGTGGTTTGAGAGAAAACGTATTGGATGCTAGTGACATAATTCATTGTTCTAAATTTAGCTCACAAGCTATTTCTTCCTTTGTTAAATTTAAGTATATTTTTATTATACAAAGAAAAAAAAGATTGTATTTTGCTTGTGTTAGTATTTTATATAATATTATTTGTAAGGTTAAAATTCAGGAAATGAGCTTTAAAAGAAGGTAAGAGGTTTGTGTTCATATTGCTTTATCTGATATATGATCATTGAAATTTGTAAGTCCTGTATGGCAAGTTTATGTTTAAAGATAGAAACATTCTTTGTATTTAGTTAACCCTTAACCTGCTGAATTTGTGTAATGGATTTGCCCTGCTTTGAATTTGGAACAGTCCATTCAGAGTTTAAGGGATTTCATTATCAAAATACAAGATTTGAGCTACCGCCAGTATTGAATCTGGGCAGATGGCAAAGATTTACAGGCAGGTCTGGATCTACACAGTTAGCAATGACTTTCGCAGGTTAAGTGTTGAAGTAAACACAAAGGGCCTATTTATGTGTGTTAGGATTTTAATGGCCACCATGAATTGGTCACTACATGAATATCAGCAATGAACTCCTAGCTACTTAGTTCTTAGTTGGAACTTATTAGAACTTTCCCTTTCTTAGTTCTGATTTAGGTTTCTTAAATTGGTTTTCACTTGGGTTTCATAAATTAAAGTCAATATGTGATCATTTTAAAAGCAAAGAATGAAATATAGATTTTTAGCTTTGGCAGCAAAATTAAAAATTTAATGGAGAGAAAGATAATTATGTGTGACCTTTTAGTGAAATGTGAGATATGTTCAAAATAATTGTGATATTTATCATCTTTATGCAATAAAGTGTTAACTCCTATTAAATTTCAATAGAAGTTAACCTGTTACTGCACTATGGTGACTCATAATAAACTCATAATATCAATACATTGATAAGATGTGGTAGTATTTACAAGGATTGCCAGTTATTAGATATTATTAAGATATTATTTGCAAGTTCATAATGCATCAGCAAAAAATTTAGAAATGAAATGTACTTCTATGATTCTACGTGATGCTGGAATTAGGAAAGGATGAAAATGATAATAAGAATATATAACTATCAGATGAACGTGAATCTTAAATATCTGATTGTGACATTTTTTGCGCTTAAACCTAAAGTTTGTTTATGTTTTATTTGTTTCAGGAAAAATTCCGATATAGGACGGTCAGAAAGTATGAAAGGGAGAGGTGATACAGTAAGTTGTTACTCTTGAATTTTTACCATACTTAAAATTATATTATGCCCGTGCAAGAATATAGAGTAAGTGAAGAGGTAAAAGTCAGAAAAAGTTTATATTTAGCCATATTGCTTTCAATTTTATGATTGGCTTCGCTTCAACAATAAATAAATTTTTGCCTAGTTTAAATAAAATCATTCTGCTCGCAATCAAAAGTCATTTCCACCAGCCTGAACATAGATTTATTTCACTTTGTACCAGCACTAAAAAAACAACACCATTTTCCATAGAGAAAGACATGCTCTATTTTTAACAAATTTATTATAAGTTATTTTATATTTTGTATAGATTACTCGACCTACAAAGCGGTCAAACAGCGACCTTGCCATGGATGAGAACACGTTACGAGCTCTTCAATCAGCAAGTTCCTCTACGTCTAGTCTTAGGTACTCGTTTCATGTCATTTTCATTTACTAAATTATGTTCTTTCTTGAGGGGAGGGGGGATTAAACAATATTTTGGGAAAAACGTGGGCACAAACAAGCTTTGCAGTGACAACTTCAGAAATAAGTGCAACAGATATTGACAAATCCTTTGTGAAAGGTACTGTGTCGCGATATTGGTCAAAGTTTGTTTGTATTGGGGAATTTGCTTGGAAAAATCCACATTTTACAAAGTTCTTGATAACGGCTATAGGTATAGCCATTGTCATGGTTACACTGTTGTTAAAACTATATATTAAAGTTTAAATTTCTTCTTTTGAGAGTAATAAATGAACATATTGATATATAAAAAATTCAATGCATGATTTTCAAATTTTATAAATTTGTGTAATCTTTGGGTTTTGTTGACTTTCTACCACTAAATCCAATCAGTAACCCATGCACTTGAAACCCTATTCCATTTTCTTAGGATTTTAGTTCAAGATAATTTAACACTTGTGATACAGTGTTATTTAAATGTAAATATGTTACAGAAGTATGGAGAGCCCGAGTACATCGATGGATACATTGACTGCACAAATACAGGATGATTCTGACTTTGATGTGGAACCAGAACTGCCCTCACTTAAACAAGTCTTAGGTGAAGACACAGTTCGCAAACTTAAACCCAAGGAAAAGAAAAGACAAGATGTTATTAATGGTAAGAACATCAGAAATTTTCTATGATTTTGTTATGTGCTTTGATTTTGTTGTACATGTATCCATGCAAGAGTTTCAAGCAGTGGGATGAACAGCGGTCAGGGTTGTCATTAACATTTTTTGCAGAAGGTTTGTTTTGAACTTGATGTGGTCATTTCTGTCTTTATCATGCATAACAAAGAGTGTTTTCTTAATTTTGAGGCGGCCCATAATGCATTTGAAACAGGCATTTTGGCCTCCTGCCGCCTCTTAATGTCAACCCTGAGCGGTAAATGTCCACTTCTGTATAACCAGATTTCTAAAAAATATTCAAAGCTGAAAACAAAAAAGTTATCAAGAAAGAAACAAATGGTTTCATATATTTGAATGCCTAATCATTATATTATTGTATTAGATTTGTTGATATTGTTTTAGTATGCAGAACTTTAATATGTGTATGTACTGAATATTACTTAGACATTTCATGTAGCTATCCAGCTAGCTGGCAGAACGTCGGTGGTTCTTCTCAGATGCCCATTTGTGCCTGAAATAATGCACGGAAGGGCATCTGAGGTCTTCCTCCATCAGTAAAGCTGGAAAGTTGCCATATGACATACATTGTATATGTTGGTGGGACATAAAACCCAACAAAAAAATAAATCTGAACCATTCAGTGTTTTTCTATGGATATTGAATTGTTTTATTCTGTAAGCTTAATCAAATATACTTATTGTGTATGTTTGCAGAATTATTTTACACAGAGAAGTGCCATGTACGTAACTTGAAAATTTTGGACAAGCTGTTTTATAGACCAATGTTGAAAGAACAGGCCATACCTCAGGATTTCACAAAAAGCCTTTTTCCTAATTTGGAAACTATGATTTTCCTTCATGGTAAGACAGGTTTAACTATTTCATTTAGATTTAAAAAAGCATATGATGCTTTTGATTCTTGTTTAGTTTTTGAAATGATTTTTTCTGTCCAATAGAATTGCAGTATATCAAATGAATCATTACACATCTACTTTGGTAATTTGACTTAATTTAATCAATCTAGTTGTACATCGACAATTTTACAACAATAATTTTGAACACTTCTTAATTGGTTAGTGTTTATAAGTAAGCATTTACTAAACAAAATTTAGTCGAACTTGACTTAGTGTTTATAAGTAAGCATTTACTAAACAAAATTTAGTCGAACTTGACTTAGTGTTTATAAGTAAGCATTTACTAAACAAAATTTAGTCGAACTTGACTTAGTGTTTATAAGTAAGCATTTACTAAACAAAATTCAGTCGAACTTGACCTATTTTCTTTTGTAAATACTAATACATACTAACATGTACTTAATGGTACTAATCTATAGACACAATATAATGTTGCTAAGGTTTTAGAATTCTAGAAGGATAAAAGTGCAAAATTGTTGATAATTTTGAAATTCTCTGAAAAAAAGGTGTAGAGGTCTTGATTTTCATATAAATCTTTTGATGACATTTATTGTTCCTTTAAGGTTAAACCAACATGTGAGGAATAAGTTCTACAGCCTCTTCAATATTCAAACATAATATCAAGAAATATAAAAGTACATTAAAATAAAAGTACATTAGTACTTTTCATTAAAGGCAAATGAAGTCTTGGGATAAAAAAAACAACATGTATTTTATTTGAATGAAGAAGAACAGTTTGATATTTTTTGTTACATTCAGGAAAAATTTGTGCTTAAAGTTGAAATGCTTTTAAGTCCCCTACCGGTTTACCGGAGGGGACTTTAGGTTTACCCTCCGAAAATTCTGGTTGCTATGGCAACAAATGGACTGAATTTCAAGATTTCTGATTCTAGTTTTTTAAGTTTTTTCACTATAAGTTCTTTATTTCTTAAGGTATTATCTTCAAACTTCAAATATAAGTTGCTTGTCATCAACCACATCATATGTGACAAAGTTTACAACTTTAGCACAAAATTTATTAGAATTACCTCCCTTGAACTTAAAATTTTCATGAAAAAAAAAATATTGTTTTTTTTAATAACTTCTTTTTTTCTGAATGTATCTACTTCAAACTTCATATATATGCTTCTTATTATCACTTAACATTTGTGAGAAAGTTCAATACTCTAGCAATACTATTTCCAGAATTAGGCCCCCTTTTGAACTTTGACTTTTTTTTTCGAAAAATTGGTAATTTTTACTTCAACTTCTTCAATCATGATAGGATTTCCTTCAAATTCCCATATCATAATAATATGACAAGGTTTATAAATCTAGCGTCCATATTTCCAAAGTTATCTCCACCTTAAACTTTTAATTTTTCTTATTCGTTCTTTAAAAGGCACATTATGCGTCAGAAATGCCATCATTTTTATTTCTCAAAATTTTAAATATTTGGTGTCTTGTTACAAGTTCCACAAAAAAAAACTTATTTGCCATATAAATGAACTATCTTTGCATGTTTTGATTTGCTGGCAATTGATATAATTATAATGAATTAGTATTTTGCATGGAAGTCAAAATACTATTTGTTTACATTTTGCTACCTTTACGACACGTTACTGCACATTCAGCACTACTTTCTTCAGCTGTTAAATATCTTACATGTTCTAAATCCTATTATCCATTATTAAAACATTATTAAACATGTGTCTTACATTTCTAAAGAATTTAATAAAAAAAGGATTTCTGAGGCATAATGTGCCTTTAACTTTCATTTACTTCAAATTAAAAATAACCATTCTTTATTCATACGTTCATTACTAATTGTTCTCTGTTACACTCACATCAGGTATGACATCTTGCATCTTTATTTCAAGAGTTATCTCCTTTTTAAAAATTTTGCTTTTAAAAATGTTATATTTTGATAACAGGGATGTTTAAAAAATAACTGTAGAATGTTCTTCAATCTGTCTGTCTGTACATTAAACTGTTTCCTGTGATCACTTTTAAAGAACTTTTTCAACAAATTTACTTAAAATAGAAACATAAGTGAATTGCCAATGGCCCTTCAGAATGTTGCTGGGGTTCTAACCGGTAGGGGACTTATGGATTGCTTGCAATACTATGATAATTGCTTGTTCAAAATGATTTTCTGCTTTCAATTTTGTATTGTTTTTTCAGGTTCCCTAAATGATTCTATGAAAAACCGACGTAAAGAAAAATCTGTGATAACCAATGTGGGTGATCTTTTATTGCAAAGGGTAAGTTATTCCATCGTTACCAAACCCCGGCAAACTTATTTTCTTAAAACTTTAATTCTTGTTAAAAATAAAAATGCATTTCAAATTGGCAGGTATTTTATAATTTTATTTGCCAGAAGTGGAGGGGCTGAAGGCAAAGATAACCTAGCTTACCCAATCTCTCTGAAATCCTGAAAACGAAAATAGCAAAGCTCATTTCACAATTGACCCTTAACATGTTAAACTGAGTTCTACAAAGTAAAGGGTTAAATTGGGTAATATTGTTTTGTAAAGTTATGATGTATTGTGGTATTTTTTGTTACAGTTTGATGGTGAGGCGGGGGAGAACTTCCGTAACGGCTGTGCCATATTCTGTAGAAACCAGTCTCATACGTTAGAAACTCTTAAAATAAGAGTTCGAAAAGAACCTAAAATGGCTCAACTTCTCTCGGTAAGTCATTAAATATTCACTATCATATTAAATATGATAATGATTTCATGTATCCTCTTTTTGCTCAGGTATTTTCAATTCTTGAATTATGCAAAATTTTCAGCTCCACGAGTTTAAACATTATTATGTGAGTATAAAATTGATAAAGCGATTTAATAAGCTGATTTGTCATACAGTGGTATAGCTCTGTCTGATTTATGAGAGGATAGAAGGTCACATGGTTTGTCTTGCCTGACTCGCTTCACACCATTTACATGTTAAATTGTTCAAAAAATTAAATATGTGCATAAATGTGTTGAATTTTAGTTGATGGACAGATTGGTCGATCTATAGTTTTCTTGACCAAGAACATTGAATTATACACAGTAATGTAACCTTATAACAAATTCATAATACTGAACAATCATTTTTGAAAAGGGCACATTATGCCTCAGAAACTAATAATTTGTTCCTTCTTTAAGAAGCGCAATCATGAGTTTTATAACATTAAGATTAAAAATAAGAGTTCCAGAGTATGTTAGTTGCTTACATTCTGAAGAAAATAGCGCTGAATGTGAAATTATATGTCGTAAAAAAACATCCATCTGAAGCCAAAATATTGTTGTAAAATATTGTCCTTGACTTCAAACCGCCTGCCCCTAACCACTGTGAGTTCAAATCCAGCCAGGGACTTCGTTTTCTTTCATGTGAGGAATCCATCAAGCTAGCTTACTAAACGTTATTGGTTCTACTCAGTTGCCCATTGGTGCTTAAAATTATGCATGGAGGGGCACCTGAGGTCTTCCTCCACCAGTAAAGCTGGTGGCCATATGACCTGTTTGCTTGCCTGGCTCTATACTGGTGACAAACGTTATACACTATCAGTTTAATCAGGACAAATTAAATCTTAGTACACTTTTTATTACCATTATAATTATATAATGTGCCTTGTTTTACAGGATGCAGAGAATAATCCACTATGTCAAAGGCTGGCCCTGAAAGATATCATTCCTAAACAATTTATGAGGCTGACCAAGTACCCACTGTTGATAGAAAACCTACTTAAATATACACAAAGTAAGAAAACTGAAGTTATATCTTCAGTAACAAACTTAATAGAAAATGTTCATAGAAAATAGAGAGTTGTTAATCTTTTATTTGGTATTATGTATTGGTGGTCAACGCATATATGGCAATTTAAATAGTCAATATGATGATAGGTTTATTGAAAGTAAAAGTAAAATAGTAATATTCAGGTAATTAGATATTCTTTCTTACTGGCTTAGTAATTAGGTTATTAATAACAGAAAGAAAAAAGCATTCAGATTCGCGTGATCTGGGTCATGGGAGATATTATTTCAAGATGATTAAAATGAGTACAGTAAGTCTGATGCTTTACGTCCCCACCATAAAAACAAGTGATTCTTTGTGGGAAAGTTGTCATTACAGAAATAGAAATGGACATTGCTGGCATAGAATCCAGTTAGATACTGTTAATAGATAATTGTCAGTATGTGTATGAGTTGAATGGTGAAACAAACTTCGACAAAGTAACCATCTTGTTAATTTCTCAGTCTTCAATTGTTTGGTCTTCTTTTATGTTATACTAGTTTTTATTTTGATGTTTTGTGCATTTAATTTGATTAGTTTGGAAAGAAATGATTATAGAAGATAGTTACTAAGTATAATACAAACAATATCATATATACTATATATATATGATGTTACAGCTAATACTGAAGAATATAGTAACCTAGAGCGGGCTCAGAAGTGCAGTAAACATATCTTAGAATATGTGAACCAGGCTGTGAAAGACTGCGAGAATCATCAGCGATTAATAGATCTCCAGAGGAAAATGGACAAAAAGTCCATAGATAACAGTCCAGAAATGGAGGAACTTAGGGTATAATACTTATTCAGAAATATATTGTTTTCTTTAAAGCGGCCTTCAGATTACCTAAAGATTAAATATGTTATTTTTAGATGAGTCGTTTTGTATAATTATCATATCAAAAGAATTAAGGTGGAAAAATTGAATTTGCTGTATTAAAATACATAAACAATTAGGAAACTCCTTAATACATCTAATCTACCGGTCTGCCCTCTATATTTAAATTAGTAAAGCTGACAATTCCTTTTCCAAGGCCGTGTTGAAGAAGGTTAAACTTGGATGTTTTTCCAAGATAAATTTACTGATTTAAAACTTTATTTAATTTGAAACAATATAGAATTGTTTTTCCAACAGAAAATAAAAGATGAAGGCTGCTTAAATTCTGCATAAATGGCAAATGAAATGATTAATTTTTTTTTGTTAAATCCAGTAATATATCTGATTGATATTTTAAATATTTATTGTTAACCAGCTTAATTTCTTAAATGGACTTGCCAACCTTCTATTTTTGGAACTGTCTATTATCAATTTTGGGGATATCAAGAAGAAGTTTAAAGATGGTCTGCCACTAGTATAGAATCTGGTCAGCCCTGGGTCTTTACTTGTGACAAATGATAATCACTTGATTACACCAGGGTAGGGGTTGATAGTTACACATTATGAAAATATGATGATTTTCTTGATTATTTCAATGACCCCTGGATAAGAAATCTAATGGATAGCATAGTAGAATTTATTTTTACATAAATGAGTGTAGAAGGATTTGGCTATAAGGTAATGTGCTATTTGTCATTAAAGAAGATGAACAATCATTTATTTGTAATTTTATTGAGGAAAAATAGTACCAAGAGGTAATGAACATTCTTTGCTCTCTATTTCAGACGTTTGATTTAAGTAAACACAAGTTACTTCATGATGGGTCATTAATTTGGAGTTTAAACAATAGAAAACAAATAGAGCTACATGTAGTGCTACTAGAACGTGCAATGGTTCTCTTACAAAAACAAGACGAGAGACTCGTATTGAAGCTGCAAAGTACGCAGCTTGTGGCGGGTAAAACTGACTCTAAGAAACATAGTCCATTGTTATGGTTGAATAATGTGCTAGCTAGAAATGATGCGACAGATAAGAAAGCATTTTTCGTTGTGAATACTTCCAAGGCAGGGCCGCAGATTTACAAACTAGTTGCTGGAACAGCAGACGAACAAAAAACGTAAGTATTTTAACACTGTTTGTCAAAATTATTATGAGGTAAACATGAAATATTGTTTTGATAATTGATATATTGTGGTGTTTGTTGTCCATCAGTAAAACTAAATGATAAAAGGTGGCATTATCTTAAAATGTTAACTCAATACATTCATTTATCAACATAATTGTGCGTCAGACAGTAAATAATCCAGTTTCCTTACCTAATGTGACAGTTTGTACCATATAGGTATAGTGTAGATTTTGAAATATGCCTACTAATAAATAACAAGACGTACTATTTAACTTATTATGTTTTACTTGTTATTTGAACACTATTATGTTACGTTTAACTTTTACGTTCAATTTGAACACTGTATACTATTTGACAGTTGGACCAAGTATATCACGCAGGCGTCAGAGGCCATGAAGAAGAATGAGATCAACCAGAAGAAGAAACCTCCGGTACAAGAGGAAATACCCAGGGAACCACCTGTACAATCTGGGTATATATTTATATATAAAAATCTACTTTGCTTGGGAAATAACATCATGTCTCAGTAAATATAAACAAACAAAAATAATAGCTTAAATGATGATATCTTCATATTTATTATACCACCAGAAATGAAGTTTAGTAGGGTATATATAGGAGTCAGCTTGTCGGTTGGTCTGTCTGTCGGTCCACTTCATAGTTTCCAGATGATAACTATAGCTTATATGAAGACCATAGTTGGGATTGCTTTTGGACCCCTGGGTTCAAGGTCAATGTCACCATTACTAAAAATAGAAAAATGATTTCTGAAAGATAGGCAGTTAATTGTAATAATTATTGGGTACACAGATGAAACATCATGAAATATAGGTCAAGTTCAAATTTTGCTTTACACCAAAAGTAAAATTGGCTGTTGGGTGTATTACCTTAAGTGATAGCTCTAGTTTGTTTCAGTAATTATTTAATATCAGTAATTATTACAATTATATAATTCAATGTTAATTATCACAAAAATTTCGTTATATTTTAAACATCAGAGGTCTGTCTTTACACTTAAATCTAATCATTGCTAAAAAAAAAATCATGACCTTACTAGAAATCAAACCGTGTGAAATAAGGATCATCTGTAAATATCTTAGGGATTATAACCATATTTTAATACATGTTTAGAGATATATCATATGTAAATTGTCTGTATTTATGATACAGTACGGAGAATGGAGAAGTTCAGGATATAGAGTCGGGGACATTGGTACACCCGGAAGATGTCACATTTAATGATCCAGTTATCAATACAGCCGTTCAAGTGATTACACCGCTCGGTACGTACTACCATGGTAACATGTTGACACAGTTACATTTTACCATGGAAACCTATTTACATTATTGCATATTGCCATTATAAAGTATGTTGCTATGGTAATGCAAAGTTACCGTGGTTACATATTACTCGTAACAAAGTAAAGAAGTAGAATATATTAGTAAAATATAAATTAATGGCAATCAAAATTAACTTTATTTGAAACATAATTGAGCCGTGTCACGACAAAACCAACATAATTGGTTTGCGACCAGCATGGATCCTGATCAGACTGCGCGGATGCGCAGGCTGGTCTGGATCCATGCTGGTCGCAAATGCACTATGTTGGTTTTGTTGTGACGCGGCTTATATGTGCTCAGTGGGATTGTTGGGCTAATGGAGTTAGATATAAAGATTGATGGATAACCTAATGTATTAATACATCTAGTTTGTAAATAGAAATGTGTGAAAGTATAAATGTCTTAAGATCTACATTATTTACAAATCAGTTGTAAAATTGAAGAAAATATAGCTAGAACTTGTTTTCTATTTGTATATTGGGATAGAGTGAAAACAAATTGGAAAACAAAGATATTAATGTATATGTTTTCAAGATTTATTTTGTCAGTAGTGTATCAAACTTTGGGACAGGTCAGTTTCAGGGTTAAAGGTGAAAGGTTAGCAGACCATGAGTGTGTGCATGGATTATGTGCCCTTGACCCAGTTTTACTAACTTGACCCAGTTACAATACCTCTACCTGAATGTTCCACAGTGTTTTAGTGTGTTTTCACATGGAATGGTTACTATGACAACATGAATTGACATGAATTGATACAAAAACTCATGTTGTTCAAGCTTGGCTGTTATATTTAGACTAGATAAAATGTTGTTTTTGTTGTTGTCAAATAAAATCTTTCATCCAGGCAAGCTGTTTCATGTAAAATGAATTGTGGCGGGTCTTGCAAGGCTGCAAAAGGAGTAAAACTTGAACATTTCATTTGGTTTTGCTAAAGTTCATCACTTTTTTTTTTTTTTTTTGACTAACAGTTTATGAAAACATCTATTTCAACTGCATAGAAAATATTTTTCTTGGAAGAAAAACTTCATCCATCGTTTAGCTCTCTTAAAAGAGCATTAGATTAGTAAACCAGGGGTCACTAATTTGACCCCTAAATGGGGTTAAACTTCTTAACAGTTCATCTCGGATTTTGAGTCTACTGGTCATTTGTCTCTCAGAGAAGATTAAAAAAAAAGAAGCAGAATTATTGGTCAGACATCTGCAGAGAAATTTGCAATTACTGGTTAGTTATCCAGGAAAGCTGGACCATGTGACCGAATAAGGAAATTCAGATATTATGAACAAACAATATCTAACGTTATATCAGTAATATGTTTGTCCTTGTGTTTGTTCAGTAAGCTTTGTGCTGCACTATAAAGTACACTCTTGTATTTGTGTTCACTCAGTAAAACTGCTTTCACTTTCAATATAGCTTCTCTATCTGCATTTAATGCACACTTAAATAATGTATAATTTCACCAATTATTTGTGGAATGCATATTTTGAACACAGATGAAATTTGAACAATTTTAATTACATATTTTGTGAAATTGTAGAACCAACCCTGAAATGACCAAGTTTGTACATTGTATATGGAAACAGCTTGCCTGCATATTGTTACAGTGGTTTATTAGAAAAACTGGATAATGGCATTTATATACAAAATAAAAGAAAAAAACATCATTAAAACTCTAGAAAAATGAGTGAATGAACGAAAAAAAATACAATTTTATCTTTGATATGACAATATTTTTCAAATTTTTATTAAATCAAGTTTTTCTACAAAGAAGGTACTTTGAAAAATTTATAAAAACTACAATAAAAAAAAACTTTCTTTAGTTAATTTTTCCTGCAGTGGGAGAAACATTGCTCTTTTTTTATCCAGTTAGACTAATAAATCATGTCTCTCTTGAATCATTTAATATATTGAAATTATGCAAGGCAATATGGCCAAATGTTTAGTAGATGTTAATAGTGACATTAGACATGACAGTGTGAATGGAGATGTCATTAAGGAATGGTAGGCAGACTATGAAATATTTAGCGGCCATCTTGTTTGTTGTGCATGCCTTGTAAATGCCTGTACGAATGTTTACAGAGAAGTTACGACAGAATGACGAACATTTAGCTGCTGTGTTAGAGGAGAGACAAGGTCTGTTAGCAGAACTTCTCAATGTCAACCCTAATGATGTCGCCGATAAAGTTCAGGTTTGTAAAAAGAGCTTTAACTTTCTTTTTTCTCTTGCTTGTAATCTTTAATTGGTTATAGACTTTTAGGAAATGTATTATTCGCTAAAACTAATGGCCTACTTCATGGGGTCACTGGTTTGATCCACGGGCTAATTGAAATTGCTGTGTGACAACTAATCTCGGACATTTAGTGTACTGGTCATTTGTCTCTCACCGCCGATTTGGATAAGTAGCTCGTAACTTGCGAAGAAATTGATAATTACTGGTTAGTTATCCAGGAAAGCCTGTCTGGTTTGTTGACCCGAGAGAAATGACCAAAACCCAGTGTGAATACTGGGGTAAAAACCAGAAAAACAAACAGACTCTAAATTTAATATAGGTTCATGTCTAGCTAGTCATATTGAACTATATATTCATTCAGGTAGTTCTTTTCCGTTATGATTTCAAGCTAGATTACAAAAGATTGGTGGATAAAAAGCAAAGATTGGTATCTTATGTTGTTATATACAAATAAAGTGTTAGAATGATATAGTATTCCAAAACAAACATGATCAAATTTGTAAAGTGAATGTGTGTGTTATTGGTTGGTAACACTCGTGAGTATCACAGCATTGGAAGTCGGCCTACAGTAAGCCTGTAATATAGTGAAGCCAGTCAATTAATCTTGGTAACTTGACTATGCCTATCTTGTGACTCCTTGATTTTTAGCATTCTGATGTTTAACAATATACAGTTTCGTAATGACATTACTCAAGTACATGAGGATAAAGTTAGAGAAATGACTAGGGATATAATATATTTATTACAGGATGTAGTTGAGGGAGAAGAGGGTGAAGGTGTACCTCAGGAATTGATCGCAGCATGTCATCATCAGGCTTCCGAAATCGTGAATATGATGAGAGAAAATACACCACCCCGTGTCATGCCAAATACAGACTGTATGTGTTCTCTCTAAAAATAACTTAGTTAAAAACATGATATTTTTGTCTTGATATAGGTTAAGTGTTACATGTTGAGAAGGATCATAATGTTGCTGGTTTTTGGTATTGACCAGTAAGCTGTTGATACTGAAGAGTCTGTTTTACCAAATCTGAGCGATTATTTTAAGTTGAAAGTTATTGATACAAAACTACTTACCTTTAGTTTTATAAAAGTATTATTACTATTTTAATGTACAATGACATTGAGTCTGCTTATGGTTAGAAAGAGGTGTTATAAGAAACTATGTTTTGATTTTCAAAACTTTATATTTGGGCTTGTAAGAATAGAAATGTTTCATCTCAAGGGTGGACCCTAATGTTGCAAGTTTAGATGGTTGTTACATAAATCTGGGTGCCCATGGTGTGCCCATGGTTACAAGCCAGAAAGTTCTTTTAGGGATCCTTGAGTCTTGACTTTATTAATGATTTTTGGACTTAAGATATGGCATTGACATATGTATAAATGAATTTAGTTGAATATGATTGTGATATACAAAGAATATTTGATAGTTAAATGAACAGAATGTGCATGACCAACAGTCACTTACACTTGTTTCTATGGCAAAAATCGCTACTAACTCTAAATATTGTACTATCATTCTGTGAGAATATCGTGTTCGTATCACAGTTCATCCACTCCATACATTCATTGTTTAACACTTGTCTGTTTATGATGAAGAGTTGTTTGCCACACCCCACCCATTTGTTTCTACATTAATCACTGGCTGCATGTATAATCTGACCGGAATTGATGCCTGTAATGTTGTCATCCAATGATCATGGCTGCTAATCTAGACCCGATAATGTCGGCACCTAACCGATGAAACTTCTGAAATATGAAGAAGAAGAAAAAAAGTAAACAAGGGTCCAATATTCATACAATAGTGAAAAAGTTATTTGTCTGTTAGTCATAATAATACATATTGGCATTTCTTGTGAATGTCGTCATCTTTTGTATGTTTGCAGTGATAAGTTAGTGCACTATGTCACCAGTATAGAGCCAGGCCAGCCTGAACATTAGTGCAGTCTGACCAGGCTCTATCTGCCGTATTTTGATATTTAAACACTTGACAAATCATACCTTAAGATAATTATGATGATGGATCATGGAACCCAAAATTTTCCTCTTATGTTCTTTTATGTGCAATAATTTAAAGTGCTGTCTTTAAAACCTGTTTTAACAGATGAGATTCCAGCTGATTTCGTATTATATCAATAAGCACATTTTTTAAACTGTTTTTATGTGTTTTTCAACCATTTTATGTGTTGGGTTTTTTTTTCAACAGTTTTTATGTGTTTTTGTATATTGAACAGCTGGCGAGCATGTAGAGTCGGTAGAGGACATGACTATGCCTATACCTATGGAGAGATTACGTGACATGGCCAACAGAATGAACCAGATTCTTACAAATCTACTTGTAAGTATAACACAATCTTTACACATATGTATGGGTGTGTTTATACACATATGTGTATACACACTTTATATAGGTTTAAATATTATTTATGCATTTATTTTGAAATCACTTTTTTTCGAAAAAATAAACCACTATTGGTAGATTTTTCATTTGAACAAATTTTTGTTGTTGTTGTGATTTTATAGATCCGTTTTAGATGGACAATTATCTGACCACTCTCTTATATATAAAGTTGTAGAATCCTTAATACACTGTAGCTTTTAAAAAAAAAAAATGGAATTAGATTTTGAAACTAGATATGTAGTTCTGAATACATCTTCCTGTTTTCTAATCGCCTGCTAATTATTTTCAAGCAAACTTTCCTATATAAAAAAAAATCCTTGAAAAAAAACTCGTAAAAAATTTAGACTTAAAGCTCAAGATACAGGTGAAACTTATCTTTAATTTCCAGAATTTTAAGAAATAGTGTTTATACTTAACGCAGTTTGCTTTCCTAAAAAAAGTTGTTTATTAGTTTAATTAAATAATACATTGCAATTTATTGAGATTTTTTTTTTAATATTGTGGAACCCAAAAAAATTATTTTTTCAATTGTTTGCTTTTTAAAGTTTAAGATAAAAATATAAATTGACATAGAAATCATGTTAAAAAGTATAGAAAGCTAAAAGTTGCATGGCGGGCTTTCTAAACCTGTAGTTGGTTATGAAAGTTGGATATAGCCATGCTTACAAGCAATGTTTTCCACTTGTTCAAAGTTTAAAATATGAAGTGTCACATGCCATCCAAACCCATCACCATACATTTCTTATGTATTAATATTTGCATTTTGCCAGATCACAGATCAGTGAACGAAAACTGTGTTTTAGTGAAACATTCAGGAAAACATACTGAAATATTCGATTATTTTTTGACGCAATGATTTCTTAAGTAACATATAACATAAATAAAATCGAAAACATACAAGATTTGAATGTTCTGTAAATTTCATATTTCAAACTGTGGTGTGAAGCTTGCCAAAAATGCTTGTTATCATTTTATATTGTGATCCATACCACACAATCACGTCTGTTTTAATTGATCAAGTATTCAACTACCCTGTTCACTTGCCCCCTTTAATTCACCATACCAAGATTTTAGTGAATCAATATTTTGTCAGATATTGCGTAATTTTCTATTAATCAAACTATGCTGTTAGTGATCTTTAGTAGAAATAAATTTATCAAAGGGTAGTTTTAAATTTTTAAAAGTTTACATTTTTAGTAGAAGTGGGTCAAATTGCTGAATGACGCAATTTTTTCTGGCACACCAAACTGTGATATTTTAAAATTTTCTACATTTTATTAGACATTTTGTAGTATATATTTTTCATACTTCGTTTCATATGTATTGATTCAAGTTTGGAGATATGTTTCACACTTAAATTCTCCTCCTCAAATCAGAAATTTTAATTTTGCTTATCTTTTGTGACAATGATAGATGATAAAAAGACAAAAAAACAAAAAAAACTTATTAAAGTTTCCAGTAGTTATTACAAAAAAAATATTTAACCATCTTTCTATTGATAAAATAGAGAGTAATGTTAAAAGTGTATTTTTTTTTAACATGTCTCCAAACTTGGTGTTTAAAAATCCTAGGCCCATTTATAGTGGTATCTCTTGTAAATCCTTGTTAAGGCATGTAAAAATTGTACTGATACCAATGTTTCGCGATTGTTTCGTCCTTGTTCAAAATGTACATGTCTAATTTGTGTTTTGTTTAGGCTCAAACCAGGGCTACTGCCACCATGACTCCCATGACACAGGTCAGGGCACCCAGTTGCTAGGCAACGAACACCCTTCAGTCAGACAGTTAAACAAAATGGCATCTAGGGACAATATTTAAAATAGATAAAAATAAAAAGTTTTAAAAAATGTTGAAAAATGTTAATTAGTGATTAAAATAACATTTATAATATTTTTAAGATATGAAGTAATTTAAATTTTAAAAACAATTGAAATAAAATAAAATAAAATTTTCCTAATTGCCATTTTATTACAAGTTACTGTAGCGATGGGCAGTGCATGGTATTATAGATTATTTACAATTTTCAGCAGGCATTCCAGCTTCACTCCAGCATTTGATACTTTTAGTATGTCGTCTTGGAAACAACTTAAAATGCCTAGCGTTATTACTCCAGTTTGGAACCCTCTTTTAATTTGTGACAATGTTGCCATGGTTACAGTAGACTGAAGGGTTGATATGCCAGAAATACTTGTTACTCGAATTAACTCTTGCTCTGCCTTGCCTTAACACAACATACACTGAACTTTTCAAATGGCTCAATAAAATAGTTCATGATAATTAAAGATATTTGTTACACACTTCCATGTTTAGGTTTAAATTTGTGACAAGTGAAATTTTCATAACTTTTTATCTAAATTTTGATTGAAATATTTATTTGAAATGATGAAAAGGTTTCATTTTCAGAGTTATTTTAAGAGTTCAGTGTATACATATTTGCCAGCAAATGTTTAGATTCAACTAAAGACGGCTGCAAGTTTTTAGTATTATATATATATACATGATAAAATATCTCAAAGCTTTCCGTACACCAGGGTATTCTCGATATTTGATATAATTTGCTTACAATACTCTGCTCAGGACGGCTTTTGAGATGTTATCACCTACTAATGTTTTATAGTGTTTCAATTCTTTTATTTTTCATTCTTTTCACCTTTTTAACCCCGTGTATCTTACCAAGAGTTTCAAAAAATGTAAAAAATAGAAGACAAACTTACAAACACATGTATATTTGATGCTTATCGCTAATATTGTAAACAACTGTACACACTGTGTTAATTGACACTGGTTAGAGTTTATAGAGGTCATGGACAAATCACAGAAATAACCAAATTACAGCGGGTATGGTTTTCTTCTTGAAGTTGAAACATTGATCTGATTAATACATTACTTTTACTATTTCCTTATGGACCTTTACTAAGCATTAAAATAGTTTAATAGTGGGTTATGCTGTTTATCCCACTTATAACTTATTCTTAGCATTTGTATTTTTGATACAATTTCTTTTAACCACTCTCTTTCAATTTATAAATGGGACATCCTTGGCCTGACCACTTGCCCGCTCGCTGCTGTGGGTTCCTCTTGTATAGTCCTTGGCCTTGAACCACTTGCCCACTCGCCATTGTGGGTTTCTCTTGTGACTTTGGAATCTTTCATGGGGGACTTGCTTGATGGTACTACTTGTTTAGTTGCTTGTTGTCCGAGATAATACACAATAGGGCATTAGAAGTGTTCTTTCGCTGGAAATTCGCTATATGACTTTTGCAGTGAAAGTGTGACTTGACATTACAAATGTTTCCAAATTGTTGAATAGAATTCAGATGTAATGAGATCCTATATTTAGATTTTGTAAACAGTTAAATGTAACTTTATAATACATTATACTCCAGATGTCATTCTTTCTTGAACATTGAATAGATTGTCTCTCACTTTTAAGGATTTTCATACCACTCAAGATGAGGAATTCATATCAGTTTATACATTTGGTGCTCTTACTAGCTTACTGATAATCAGTCTGAAAATTTGTAATATTATAAAACACTTATTAAGTCGGACATATTTTAAATAATAGATATCTTTTACCCCAATGAGAATTGTTGTATCAGACTTGTTGTTAATTTTAGTATTTAAGTATGTATTAATGATAATGGATGATAATTATGATAACAGATCTAGCTTAGAGACTTGTACTTGTAGCTCCCCCTTGCTGTGGCTGTCCGGCTTGATCTGAATGTTTGCTGGTGTGAACATGAATGCATGCATGAGATCATTTTGTATTGTCAGTTTGAGGGGCGCACTTCTCTTATGTGACATCACACTGTGTTAGTTGCACAAAATCTTTCTTTGACGCAAAAAAAAAGTCAACAGGGAGCACAGTTACACAATATGTTAGTTATTTAAAACAAGATTTGTTAATCACTGCTATTTAAATAAATAATCATATTCTCTTAAATTGTTTAGTTGATTATTGAGATTACCTTTCAAGTATTGTGAGTTTTTAAGTAGGAATCCTCTAAAGATTGGCTTACAGTTCTGTAAAGAAAAATATGTAAATTGGGATAAAAAGCACTTCATATCATATGTGGCACGCTAAATATCTTAAATGGACTTTCAATCTGGACAAAACCATCATATTAAAGGGAAAATTTCATGAAGGGAAAATTTCATAATAAGTTCTGACTGAACTAGCCATCAATGTTGATCGGCACTAGTGACATGGGTAGATTCAGATTTAGTGAAATACATGTAGATGAGAAACAAACTCAAACTGACATGTCTATCTTTGTTTAACTAAACTTCTAAATCATTGACACAGCTTGTGTTGTTTCATCATTTGCCTTGGTTTGAGGCAGCTTTGTGGTACGGGACATCTTGTTACAGTCTATCGTCACACAAAAAAAACAGCATTACAGAAGATCATAGTACAAAACAAACTGAGGCAGAAAGTCTGTCATGTTTGCAAGAAAATAAATTTTTACCTTAAAATAAAAGTTTAAAGATTTACATGTTTGTACAATTTGTTTATATAAAAATGTTTTTTTCTGATAAAACAGCATAAAACTAGAAATTAGCAAAAAAATCTCTAAAACAAACTATATCAATTGACTACATGTATTAAATATCTAAAACAATGACTGGTACCTCAGTTTGTAGAAATGTGTTTAGTAGATTTTGGATAAAATCTTTTTTAGACTTGTTTAGTGTTTTAATATAGAAGTTTGGTTAAATTTAACTGTGCAAGGTAGAATAAATTGATTTAGTACAAGCATTGAGTAACTTGGGGTAATTTTATTATTAGATTTTTATAATGTTATGTCATATTGCTAATGACAACGCTATCTTTGTACCATATTACATTGTAGTGAAATCAGACAAAAGTGTTTTTTGATGGCATTTCTAAAGGAAAATTCTGAATCTGTTAATTGTCTGTGGCAAACTTACTCTTTGGGTTAACATACACTTGCAATGACCAGTTACTGTAAAGGTTATACAACAAAAACAAAAAATGTTATTGAGATTGTTAATTTTATTTGCATAGCACCTTAAAAGCTATTTTTCAACTAGAACAGTGCTTTTGTTGGCTTTCGACTTTTAGAATACCCCCCTTAAGAAACCAAACTCCATGGGTAGATTGCAGCTTTAAAAAAATAATTTTTTACATGATATATAGGCTTGGAAGAGAAATGAAAGAATCTTTGTGAATTAATTGATTATATGGTAGAGATGTGTAGATAACTTGCTAGCTAGATGAATGATATTTAGAACATGTTAGTGGACAATGTCACCATTATATCATTATTTAGTTAGATGATTATTATGCAGAAATATTTTTATCAAAAATTATTTATATACATGTACATATGTCCTAAGGTTATAAATATATAGGAATCCAGTCCGACAATTGGACACTGCTGTTAGTTGACTTAAAATTTTTTGTTTGTCATCAAACAAATCATGTATCATAAATTTATGCTTGACGTCGGTATCAAGTAGATCTACTTTGTCTGTGTTGAATCTAATTTCCTTGGAACTTAGATTAATATTTTCAAAGTGCAGTTATTTTTATTCATGATCATTTTTATGTTTCATTAAGTTTCATATATTTCATACTAATTTTTTGATCCTCTTCTCATATTTTTTTTTTTTTTTTTTTTTTTTTTTTTTTTGGCCATACTTTCCAGTTTTTGTCAAGTCTTGACTCTGCATAAGATTTATGTAGCATGACAATCACTCATTTAATGAATCAAAATTCTGAAGTAAGATATTAAATATGGTTATAAGTCTTTATTCTGCTGATTTTATCCGTCAACTTTTTTATGCTCATGGTTAAAAATTGTATTTTTTATCTTTATTTTTTTAGTGCTGCTGGTAGCTCAATTATTTAACACGGATATTTTTAAATACATGTATCGGTTAATATTGAAAGCCGTGGATTTTAAATAAAGAAAAAGTAGAATAGTTTGTTATATTATGATTGTGTAACATTTGTTTTGATGAAGCAGAATAACTTATTTATAAAATAATTACAGGCTGCAGTAAATAGCCGGGATGAAGAACGAGACCGTCTCCGTAGAGAGCTGAAATTTGCGCAAGAGGAGTTAAATCGTTTGCGACGTATACAGAAAAAGCAGATGGAAGCTCAGAAAGAGAAAGGGGAAGATGTGGAAGAAGAAACTATTGAGGAGGAAAAGCCAGGACGTCCAGCTAGCATTGTATCCGAGACTTCGACAGTTTCTGAATCTGAGGGTGACGAGAACAAAGAGGATAGTGAACAAACTGATGAACAAGAACCAGGTAACAGAATTTAATGATGGTTGAATTGTATCTTGTTGAGCTTATCCCTGCTTTGGTCCTCTAGTAAGGGAGAAATTTCTCGGTGACAATCAATATTAGATATTGAGATTAATGGTCATTTGTCTCTTGCTGTTGATTTAAAAATTATGTGGGATAAGTGAAAAGTGATTGGTCACATGCAGAGAAATTAGTGAATACTAATTAGTTGTCCAGGAAAGTCAGTTTGGTGGACCCTGCACAGAGAAAAGGAAAGATAGACGTAAAATAAGTGAATAAAACAACAAACAGCTGAAACTTGAAATCACTACAGCTGATATCTATATGTTAGACTTTTAGTGAAAGCGAATCAAACCAAAGATTGAAGAGGCAGTAACTCCCATAAACAAGACAAATGCCAAAGGTTGTCTTGATGAGAAAAAAATTCATTGCATAATTTTTACTATTTTCTTAGTGGACCACTAAACAAGATTAATTCCCTAGATTTTTTTGTTGCATGTCAAAAATAAAAATACTGACATCTATGCCATGGTCAGATATCATGTGACATGTTAAACTTTGTGTTAAACTTGTAAAATGTAATTTTTTTAAATTCTATATATAAGTTGTAATCAAGATTTCTTGTAGTGCAATTGTTCAGCAGTTTAACTTTGCCTCGTGTTCTATAATAAACTTGATTTTATTTACAGAAGTGACAGAGGATGGTATGCCTGGCCTTCCAATAGAACCAGAAATTGTGAGTGAGCTTGAAACATTAAATGAGGTATCCCCGGGAACTATGGACACCCTAGTGGACACTGATTCAGCTCTAGAACTAGCAGAAATATCAGCTCTTGAAAGTGATGATACAAATACATATGAAGAAGCTGAAGTGGAAGCTGTTGATGAAGAATTACATGAGATGGAACCTCCAGATGAAGATCAAATGGAAGACCCTGATTTGGACACACCAATTGTTAAAATAAGTGCACCAGATAATGAAAGTGACGATGATGATGATGACGACGATGATGATGATGATGAAGAGGAAGAAAATAAGGATGACGATACAAAAGCAAATGAAAAGACTGAAGAGTATGATGTTGATGTTGAAGACGATGTTAATAATGGTGATATTGAATTGACAGGTCAGGTTGAAAATGTAATGGATAGATTAAAAGTTGAAGGAAACACTGAAGGTGAAAGTGACACTGATGTTAATAGTGAAAAAAAAGAAAGTGGAGGTGAAGAGTTTCATGATGCCATTGAGGGTAAGGAGGACAGAAATAGCACAGAAATCACTGAAGATCCTGGTGGTCTACAGACTGATACTAAAACTGATGAAGTTTTAAAGGATAGTTCAAAAAACAGTGATGAGAAAAGTGAAAATGAAAATACTGAAACTGATGATAAAATCGATAGTGGAAATAAAGAACAGTCTAATAATAATATAGAAATAACTGATTCAGATGTGATGCTAAAACAGAAAGACATCAGTAATATTGATGAAAATTTAAGTGAAATAAAAGACAATACAGTTGATAGTTTAAATGAGGCACAGTCGAGTGAGGAAGTTTGAGTCTTATTGCTTAGACTTCATTTTATTGTTGCTGTTTTTCGTTTTTTTTAGAAATAAAAAAAATCACAATTTCTGTCCTGCATAGCCATGAACTACATATCCCTGTTTTGTAAATAATGGTATATATTAATCTGTCCCGAGGCAAGAAATATATGTATATGTAAAGTTAAAGGATTTAAAATGTGTATAATCATGCAATATACGTCATTTTTTATATCAATTGGTAGAAGTAGGTAATGTTTGTAAGCATTCAATGTTATAAATATTGTTGATCATCTGATTCTCTGTCTGGTTGAATAGTGATCATGATAATGTAAGAAGGGAGGATAAATGTTACCTAACACATAAACAGGAGGTTAAAATGAATGTTAGACAGGAATAGTTTCAGAAAAATCAAATCACTGTGTTTTCTTTAATGGGTCAAATGTTGTTGCAGTTTTTATGGCTGAGTGAATTTCGACGATGGCTGGAATTTTTGACAAAAATTTGCTGTATGCTTTATAAGTGTGTTTTGATTTTGCATAATGGGGTTGACCACAGAAACCAAATCAGGGTTCAACATTGTACAGTCATGACTAAGTGATGAAGTTAGTATAGTGAGTGTAACTGAATCCTTGTCGTCAAAGTTTTACAATAAGTTTATAAGACATAGTCTTGTTTTGGAAAGTTTAGGTACATGTGTACAGGGGACAAGGGTGAGAACAGGACTGGGTTACTGTTCGGAAAATATTTTAGCCAGTATATAAATGTGCAAACCAAGATTAGCGAGTTATAAAAGTTGATTATATATAAGATATTTATATGCAGCATATGTTGTTTGTTTATTTGAAGACATCGTAGTTTGAGATCTGTGTACGTTAAAGCTTTGATTACAGGCTTGTTTATGATTGTTAATAAATCCATACATTAAGTGTACTCTGATTATTTGATACTTGGAAAAAAAACACAGGTTGCTAATGTATTTGGCTTTATGGTACATGTTGTGTACTTTTAAATACTGTTAAATGTATGTGTTTTTGCGTTTTAGAAACTAACGTTATGTTTGTCAGTTAAACAGAATTTTTTTGTGATCTTCATTGTAGCACATTTAATACAGTTTACTTATTTATAAAATAATGTCATGGGGTACGGGATTTAAATTCTGTTTATTTTAAACTTAGAAAAAAGTATCCTGTACAAGTCAGTTTTTCCTGAGATGGATTTGACAGTTAATTTATCTTAGAGGCGGAATATATAGAGTAGATTGGTTGTTTATAAGCTGGAACAAGCTAGTTCCTACAGATAAATTGTCTTTTTATAGTTTGGTAATTTTGTCTGAAATGAAACTTTAATTTAACGTTAATTTTATAATTTCGTCTGAAATAAAACATTTCCTGAAGTCATTTTTGAAAGAAAAGTTTACAGATGATATATAGTTGTTGACAGATAAGTTAAAGGTCTCTAATTCTTGTTGCCATTTTAAGTTATAAGGATACTCAAGATGGAAAGCTAGTTTGATATAACTGAATGAACTTGTTCTATATGGTTAACCTGGGTTTTATCTTAACTGGAATTATATTTGTACATTGTTATTTGTTTGAGGTCAGGTGTCAGTCATGCCCTGTAATTTAAGGATTTTTGGAAGATTTTAACTTTTTTCTACAAAAACTACTGTTTTCTCTTAAGTGTGAATCTAATTTTACAAATTAATTATAATTTGTTTTGGTAAATGAAAATATTGCCGTTAAACAATTTTAACATTCGTTTTGGTAAATGAAAATATTGCCGTTTAAATAATTTAACATTTATTTTGATTATTGAAAATATTGCCGTTAATATAATTGCAGAACTAATTACTTGGAGACCATTATGGTTTGCAGTTAACATAGAAGTTCTTCCAGAAGTTAAGGTTTATTTTAACAAAAATAGTTTGCAAATCACTTGGACATGGCTTATGTCAGGAGATCAAGTTTGTAAACTTGTGCTTAAACAAAACCGTGTAAAAAACATCAAAGCATTGAATAATAGATGTATTATAAAAACTTGTACAGTTTTACATAGAACAGTGTTGTTTCTGTTCTAAAACGTCATTTAATTTGTTAACATTCACAGTGTTTTATTTAAACGAAATTCATATTAAAAAAACCTTTGTACAGCCCCAGCCAAGTCTGGATTTAGTTATTTGATATAGCAGTTATTTGTTGAGTTTTTTTGAGTACAAGTATATTTTGTAAATGGAAACTTTGTTTGTATATATTATGTATTGTATGTAGATAGATATATACACATGTTGATTGATAACTACCATACTGGTCTATCATCTACTCATGGAATTCATAGTCTTTTTGTTAACCGCCTTGTTCTGGTGACGAACTTGTCCTGGTGACCATCTTGTCCTGGTTTAGTTCAGTAACTGCCCATTTCAATTAAAGAAGTTTTGAAAATTCAAGTATAAATCTTTGTTATTTTAGAAAGTATAAATTAAAGATAAAATGGAGCAATACAGAGCTTGGTTAGATTGATTCTATGGCTGAGTGGTTAAGGTTGCCAACTTAAAGTCACTGCCCCTCGCTGGGTTTGAATCAAAGAGTTTGGATTCTTTCATGTGAGGAAGCTATCTAGCTTGATTACAGAAAATTGGTGGTTACGATTATTTTCCTTTTCCTATATGCTTTTTGTACCATATAAATCCCCATACTTGAAAAACACTCTCCAATGAAAAAAATTATGAAAGAATTTCTCAGATGTAATAAATGTAGAAAAAAAAGAACGTTAATTCCATGAGTAGATTGGTAGACTCTATCATGTTATCCCTGGATTTGTTTTTAAAAAGGGGACTAGAAATATAGTGCTTTATGATGTTTGTATTATATATAACGACAAAAAAAGGTATATAATGTTTAAACATACAGCACTGTGATTGTGTTCATTGTATAACATTGTAATTTACTAATATAAAAATTGACATAGCAAAACCAGTCTTACAGCAAACTCTGCTTCTAATATTGTAAACATTCTCATTATTATTACCACTATGTTTAATATTCTTTAACCGGTTTTTGTTTTTTTTTATCATTTTTTGCGTTTTTTTTTTAAATATGTATATTGTATTACCCAAAGAAAAACCACATAGTTAATGTATTTTGAGAATTACGCAATTTCTTTTATTGTTTGTTTTTTTTTTGCCGTTTTTTATTTCAATATAACTCAGATGTTTAACAACACTAGCTTACTTTGGTTATTAATCTAGAAGTTTTTTTGGATGGGTCTTGAATATGTATTAATCCAAGTGCATACAGATTTGAATTCTTGTTAGAATTTGGTTATATATTAAAGGAACTCCACTTAGGTCCAAAAGTAAAAAAAAAAACTAATATATGAATTTCTTACATAGGTCAGCTAGGAGACTTAAAACAGAAAGATATGTAAAAAATAGAAAGTCATATTTTTGTGCTATTCTAAGACAGATTTGTGTGAAAATTTGGATATTTTTAAAAAAAAAGAACGAATATTCTCAATCAAAGCACTGAATGTACTGATGGGGAGGCTATGAGAGAATGTTTCAGACTTATAGTTTCTTTTCTTTTTGCTTAAAATATACTACCAAAATAAAAAGATATGCACATTGCGCTATTTATCCTTACTGTTGTGTTCAACCATTCATATATATGGTTAATGAGGTTGACTATTCATTTTGTTAATATTCCAGAACATTTAATTAAGGTCTACATTCGGACTGTTAATCATGCAAATTTTGAAAAACCTAAACTGTCAATAATAAATGACATACCAGCAAGTATATGACGACTGTTCATTATCCAGATAAACAATAACATTTTACAACTGACGGTTCCTTATCAAAATATTCTAGGACTGTTCATGCATAAATATTTTATGTCCATTTTAATATTATTGAATGATAATAACAACTGCCAAGTGATGCAACATTTTTATTGAACATAAAAATTATACACGTTTAGATGTACCATAATTGAGATCAATAAGATACTGTCTTGTGATGAGTATTAATTAACATTCATGCTCTACGGACAGAAGGTTGTCTTCTTCAGAAGCAAATCTCGAATAAAATCACGTTTCAGAAAATTAAATCAAATTATTCAAAACTGAATCAACCTAAGTGAAATTGATCAGGAAGTTATATCTTCTTTTTTTTACCGCCAACACTCAACACTCAACCAACTTATGGTAGTTAATCGATAGATTCTACGTGTAGATTTTTAAACCTCACTAGCTTTGAAATATATACTGCGGAAAATCTGTTGTTAACAGGTGTGCGGTTATTTCGTAGGGTTTTCCCTGTCGACCATTTCCCCGCAAATAGATGAGAAATCGAAGCCGTCAGTGCTATGAATGGTGTTATAAATGGCGTGTTTTTGGAAGTGTTTGTTTGAAACTTCTCCAAATACCTCCAGAGGCGTGCACGTCGCGGAGAAGGCACACGGAAGGTCATAGTCAAGTCATCATAAGTACCAGAGGTGATTGGTTGACCTGTCGTGACTTACTCTGGAGGTTTGGCGCTAATAGATGCCGTTTTTTGTTGTCGTCAGTCAGAAAGTTTGATGCCGCTTGACGGTATTGTCGTCTCCTTTACCACCAATTAAAGAACGAAGAATGGGCTTCCAGGAAGAATCTGCTTGAAAAAGACGTCCCAGATGCTATAATCTCGGACATATGGTTATTCCGGCGCCGAGTATAAATAAACTTAAAACACACACACTTTGTTCAAAACAAAACAACAACCACATTTTCTGTAGTAATTTTTTCAAGTGTTTGTAAAATGAATAAGAAATTCCTCTTATGCCGCCCATTATTTTTAGAACACAACCATAAAAGTTCTTTTTTTTAATTTTTCAAATAAACATTTATCACTTCAGCGCGAGCAAATATCGGTTTCAAATTAAAGTTTCGTAAGATATGTTAATGACTTCCCGATGCTCGACTGTAAGTAATTTGTATATGTATGCGGTTTTTTTTTGTTTTGTTTTTTTGTTTTTGTTTTTAATTAAAGCTTCTTATTCTTTAATATTTTTATGTATCTCATAATCTGTATTGAAAATTTGAATTTTATTACAAATGGACTATCAAATTATGATGTATGCCCTAGAATTGAATAAACTTTCTAATTACACAATACGGGGGTCATACTGATCTTTGCGTCTTTCTCTGAAATAATTATTTCCTTGTTAAAACATATTTGACCACATATTTCTGTCAATTAACTGTTCACTTTACTTCCGATTTTGTTGTACGGAAACACATGTTTCTATTTGTGTTTTCTAATCAATTCGAATCTATAATCAGTTTAATGGGATCACCACCGGGTAAACGACTACTAGGTACTTTGGTCATGTTTTTTACCACAAATATTTGAATGTTTCTATTGGGATTAAAATGAGCATAGTTAACTAAACAACTGTTTGTATAAATTCCTGACCTGTCTAATTCTAATTATGAGATTAGTGAATATATAAGACTTTCACTACAAAATATTCCTAAACAAAAGAGCACATGTTTAAATTTATTCCTATACAAATAAAAGATCAGAGTAGGGATCTTTCAATTACCAAAAGATACTTTTATGTTAAAAGTTTGATTAATGAATTATGTAAGATGAAAATATAAGTATTGCTTTTTTTTATTTTGCTAATGTAAAATGTAATATTGTGCTGGAATTTTGTCGGAGGTCCTTAGGGTTTTGTAGTTAAATAGTTTTTTTTTTCGGCGATAATGGTTAAAGAATATATAATGTTTTTAAACTATATGTTCATCACCATCAGTGAATTTTTAGTTAAATGTATGCAAAATATTTACTAAACAGCTATATGATTTAGCGGTTTATGAGCGTTTTCCGCGTACAGCCTCCTGGGGTGTACAAATAAGTTAGTTTTCCCTAGTTATCACGCAAGCATGATCCATGTCTCTGATGTAAGCGACAGTTTACAATTATTTGTCTTTAAAAATATTAAGGACTATTAATAGTTTATAACAACAAAAGAACATGCATGATATTGAGAATACGTAGTTGCAACGTTCTAGTTAATGACCCGTCATAAACAGTTGGTCGCTGCGTAGTAATTGGAAAATTGTTATCAAAAATAATAAAGAATATTTGCCACTGAATTAAAGCATTTACTTATAAATTTTCATTTATGCTTTTGTTAAAAAAATATGGATAAAGTTATTATTTTGAAGGGTTTTCATACCAGAACTATTTATTACAGACGTACGTCTGCCTAAACCTGATTACCGCGGCAGTATGACGTCACGGAGTATTGATTTAAACAAAAATCAAGAATTTTTCAGAGAATTATTATCTTTACAAATTGCAGATATGAAATTAAAGAATGAAAATATTTTCATATTGTAAATGTCTGTGATGAGTGATGAGTCAGCTTAGAAAAAATCAAGGTACTATTTTTTGACCTGATTACCGCGGCAGTATGACGTCACGGAGTAGTGATTTAAACAAAAATCAAGAATTTTTCAGAGAATTATTATCTTTACAATTGCAGATATGAAATTAAAGAATGAAAATATTTTCATATTGTAAATGTCTGTGATGAGTGATGAGTCAGCTTAGAAAAAATCAAGGTACTATTTTTTGACCTGATTACCGCGGCAGTAAGATTTGACAGACAGTTATTAACATTGGGTCGGCATAGCCTCCCCAAAAATCTGGGTGAGCGAATTGTCCAATATTTTGCACATAAGTTATTTGTCTAGACCTGAATCAAATGCAACTTTTATTTCCAGTCATGTCAAAAAACCTCATTGGAGTCCCTTTAAAATGTTTTATGAATGGCCAAATCTGCTTGTGAACAGTACTGAAAGTTGGTCCAAATTTTATATAAAACATTAAGTGAAAATTTTGGTTGACCACTTGTGAACATTGCAGTTAACCCTGTGTGAACATTGTAGTAGGGTGGAATTGTGAACATTTTGGCGAGATAATCTTGAATGTGAACATCGTGGTTAATATAAAAATATTATGAATACTATTAAATTTACTATTGTAATGATCAAAATTAAACTAGACTTTATTGTGAACAATGCTTTGTTTGGTGAATAAAAAATACACTTCTCAGCATGTAAAATATGTTCACATTTTAATAAAGCCAAATATAAAGCGATATTTCAAATATGAACGTAAGAATACAAACTTTTAAACTTTGATTTGTTTCTTAAAAAATCTCACAGTTAAACTGACCTTATTTCATTGACAAGTTTTTATTCCTAACATCAAAATTTAAACCTATTCTAACAAAGTCAATAACATTTCCCTTAAAAAAATGATAATGCACCATGGCTCATATAATAGATTTTTGAGTATATATTTATACATGTTTTTCATAGATGATCGACCAAACATCATGGCATGATATCAGTTCACAGTGGTGCCTGTGTTAATTTGGCGCAAGAGTGATTGAAGTTCAACTCCTATAAAATGCAATGCCTTTAAAATAAGTGAATGGTTTTTGTTTGAATTGAAATATACTGCAAAAGAAAATATTTCCTAATTAATCAGCAATTTTGAATATGCAAGATTGTTTTCCAATGATGAGAAATTCTTAGCCATTTGAGTAATGCATTGGTGAATTTACTCTATTTTACACAGAAATTCTGCTCGTAAAACTGATAAATTTAAAATGTTAAAATGTGAATTTGAAAGTTTGATAATAATATGCAAGTTAGATACATTATAGTGCAATAATTTCTCCTAAACAGAAAGAAATGAAGATGTCCATAGCATAATGATTTTTACTTTTTCTAATAAAAAAATGTGTGAAGTTTGACATAAATTATTATAGTATAATTTTTGAAAAAAGAATAATTGCAAAAAAATAATGTATATTTTCTGACTGTAGTACTGTAAAGATATTTGAAAATAACAGTAAAGTGAGTAAACAAAGTGTAAGAGTTAAACAAAGTTACAAATGAATGGGTTATATTGCTATGTTCAAGGCCAGATGAAAAAGAAACGTAAAATATTT